GGAAATTAAAAACTCCATTGAAAGCTGGCAAAAATGCTTGAAAGAAACAAAAGATAGACTTATCAAACCTTGAAGACAGATTTGCAGCTAGCGATTGTAAAAGGAAAGTTCTCTTAAAAATAACAAGGAACCAGGAAGTAACAATACAAAGGCTACAAGATGACAAGAGGAAGTATAACTTAAGAATAAAAAATGTGAGTGAAGCAGCAGGGGTAAACACAAATGAAATACAAAGGCTATTTACAGAAATAATTAAAGAAAACTTCCCAAGCATAGGAAAAGGAATGATATTCAGATAAGTGAAGCATACAGAACTCCAGCCAACTATAACCAAAATAGATCTACACCCAGACATGTAATAATCAAGATCCCAGAAATTCAACACAAGAACAGAATATTAAAAGCTGTCAGAAAAAAGAAACAGATCACCTATAAAGGAAAGCCTATCAGAATCACAACGGACTTCTCAACACAAACCATCAAATCAAGAAGAGCTTGGAGCAAAGTATTCTAAGCCCTAAAAGAAAATAACCTCCAACCCAGAATGATGTATCCTAAAAACTATCTCTCAAAATTAATGGAGAAACAAGATGCTTCCATGACAAAGAGGAACTGGGGGAGTTCATGACCACCAATCCAACCCTACAAAAAATACTGAAGGACATTCTAGAGAGAGTGGAAAAAAAGACCATGGTTTCAAGAACAGTGACAGAGGGCGACAGGGCAGACAGTGGAGTGAAGGGGAAAAGTAGACAACCAATGGCAGAAAAATGGCATGACAGAGATGAGGCAGAGAAGCTTGGCCATAATTGCTAACACCCATGGCCTTGATACACTAATACAAAGAAACACAGGCAGAGAGGATCAGGAGATAGGGTCCCTCAAGATGCTCTATATAAGAAATATATTTAACCTGAAAAAGGGTTTATGGACTAAAAATCAAAGGTGAGAAAATAATGCTCTATGTGACTAGGAACCAGAAAAATGTGGGGGTAGCTTGCCTATCAGCTGCAGATTGATTGGAAAGACATAACACTTTTATACAATGGAGAACTACTCCATTGTATAAAAGAAAAACCTTGAGGCTCTTGTAGGTAAATGGATACAACTTAGACCAAGCTCATGGGTAAAAAGGTTCAGAACCACTTAGGTAAATAGTGGGTTGTCTCCCTAATCTAAGAACTAAAAGAGTTACTAGGATACAAAATGTGCAATGTACGCTGGGAAAGTGAAAGGGAAGGAATTGTGTAAATAGGTAAGGCAGAGGACATTGTTAATCTTGCATCATGATTTGAAACTCATATTGCTTTCATCACTGTTATATTCTGTTCTAGTTTGTCTACTTGTACTAGATTTGAGGGCATGGACAGCTATTCCAAAGATAGTAGGATATACTACGGTAACCACTTTTTTTTTGTCTTTTTCATTTTTATCGGTACCGGGGATCGAACTCACAACCACCTGCTTGCAAGGCAGGTGCTTATGCCGCTGAGCTAAATTCCCAGTCCCTCGTAACCACTTTTAATTTCCTATTAACTTAATCTGAAACCCTGTATTGCCTTCACTGCCTTATTTTGGCTGATTTTATTTGAATCTGTTTTGTTTGATAGCTGTCTTGTCTTAACTGATTTTATTTGAATGTTATGTTTGATCGTATCAAGTCTGAGAGCATAGGCAACTACTCTGAAGACAATAAGATTCACTATGATACCCGTTCTGGTTTGACCCTCTTTTGAAGTCCTTTAATGGCGCCAATGTTTTGTTTTTATTGATTTTGTTCCATACAGCTATATTCCATTTTATTGTACCTGATATGGGCAATTATATTGAAGATCACCTTGAATTGTGGCTTTAAATCACGTACTATGTCCATTCTTTAGTTTTAGATGACCCCATTTTTTTCTCGTTTGGTTTTATTCTTTTCAAAATAAAAATTAAAAAAAAGAAAAGAAAAACAAGAGAACATGAAAATGGATCCACCAGCTTCTAGATGATACCAAGAAGACTAATCAAAAATTTACTGAAATTAGTGAAAAATCAAAGGATGGCACAAATGGCATTTTAAAAAAAAAACCCTATTTACTAAAATAATAGCTGAAAACTTTTCAAGTAAGGTAAAATAATTTACATGCAGCTAAGTGAGACATACAAAACGCCAAATGGCCAGAAAGAACCTCTCCATTACACATCATAGTCAAAATACGAAGTCCTCCAAGATGATAACAGAATCTCAAAAATGGTTAGAGAAAGGCAAAAAATCATCTATAAAGGAAAACCCATTAGAATTACAGCAGACTTTGAAACACAATCCTTAAAAGCCAGGAGAGCTTCAAGTGAAGCTCTTTGAACCCCCCCCCCCCCGCAAATTCCAACTTAGGCTAATATATCCTGCAAAACTATCTCCCAAAATTGATAGACATATTAAATACTTTCATGATAAATACCATCTAAAGAAATTCATGACCACCAAACCAGCATACCAAAAATTCTCGACATTAAAAAAAAAATCCACAAGGCTATTCTAGAAAAAAATAATAAAGCTAACACTGACAAAAAGTCTAATATAGGGGTGGGGGATTTAGCTCAGCAGCATAAGCACCTGCCTTGCAAGCGCACGGTCTTGAGGTCAATCCCTACCTATAAAAAAAGTCTAATACAATGAATACACCAGGCAGGATACACAGTTAAATAGAAAGATAGAAAAGCAAGGTAGGATAATAAAACAATGATAGGAATAAGTAAATACCTACCAGCAATAACTCTCGATGTAAATGGTCTGAACTCCCCAATCAAAAGACAAATAGGAAGAATGGATCAAGAAATAAAATCCAATACTATGCTATGCATAAGTAACACATTTAACCAAAAAAGAAACTCACAGATTAAAAACCAAAGGATGGAAAACAATATATACAATAGGAATCCCCTTCCAAAAAGTATAACTATCTTATATTCAGACGAAGTCAATTTCAAACAAAAACTAATCAAAAGAGGCAAAGAAAGTCACTACATATTGCTTTAGGGAACAATTCAATAGGAAAAAGGTAACAATTATTAACAGCAAACAGTGTACCTAACTTCATACAGCAAGTTCTACTGGACATAAAAGATCAGACAGACATAAACACAATTATAACGGGTGACCCCAATATCACTATCACAAATACAGTGATAAATAGACCAAAAAAATCACAGAAATACGACAGTTGAGCAAAACCCTTGAACAAATGGACTTAATGGACTACAGAATGTTTCACACAACAGAATGCACATTCTTTTCAGCAGTACATGCAACTTTCTGCACAACAGGCCGTATATTAGCCAATAAATCAGCCTTAACTGAATGTAAAAGAACTGAAATTATACCATGCATATTATCAGACCATAGTACAATGAATTTAGATGTCAATGACAAAATAATTATGCAAAGGCATGGAAATGAAACATTAAGCAATGGCTTATAAAAGAAATCAAGGAAGAAATCAATTTCTCAAACCAAATGATGTCAGTGCAATATACCAAATCTTACGTATTATTGATGGGAATGCAAACTAGTACAACCATTATACAGATTTCTCAAAGAACTGAAATTAGAAATCCACACTAAGCCAGCTATCTCCCTGCTAGGTATATTTCCCAAAGAACTAAAGTCATCATACTACAGCACTGTATGCAGACCAATGTTTACAGCAGCAAATTTGTAACAGCTAAATCCTGGAAGCAGCCTGTATACCCATCAACAGATTACTGGATAAAGAAAATGTGGTATCTATATATAATGGACTATTACTTGGCTATAAAACATGACACATTTGAGACATTTATAGGAAAATGGATGTACCTGGAACATATAATGTTGACTGAAACAAAGCAGACACACAAGCTTAAATACGATATGGTATCTCTCATTTGAGTGAGGCATAGTACAAACAAAGTGAATTATAAAGGACAAACAAGGAGACAGATCTCTTGAAATAGGGAAGTGGTGCAAGGCAACAAAGGCAAAGGGTAAAGAGGTAGGGAACAGAAAATAGGAAGAATAAAGATATGTCATGTATAGATCCTAATAACCCCAACTAACATAAACATTATCCGCCACAAAATGAGCTAAGACAGATAATACCAACAAGTATGAAAAAAAGGGATAGGGAAACTGAAGAGGAGGAGAGGAAAGGAAGGGAGGTAAGAAAGAAAAGAAAAGAAAACACAAAGGTCAAGCCAAATATAGTAGTATGCATCTACAGTCCCATCTATTTGGGAAGCTGGAAACTGAGGCAGGAGGATCACTGCAGCTCAGGAACTGGAGACCAACCTGGGCAATGTAGCAAGACCTCATTGGAAGGGTCAAATTAGATCTCAACCTCACTTTCTCAACTCCCAACCTGCTTGCCAGCAGAGGCACTATCCCTGCAGGGAACTCAGTTCAGCACCAAGGCTGTCTTTGGAGGCACAGGATGTCATAAAAAAGATAACATAGTATAAGGAATTTTGCAGGTCCTGTGATGTCTGGAGACATCCTAAAATTTACACCTGGACACTTCAAGGACTTTGCCCACTAAGGTATAAGACTGACAGAGAACTTTGACCATAGATGTTTATTAAAATTAATGTCTCCTGTCTAATGTCTCCTGCCTTCTTTCCATCCCTATAAAAGGGACACAATTCTCTTTGTTTCCGGAAGATAGCCTTTTTGCTGTCTGCCTACCCCCAGGCACAATAAATTCCACACCATGTTGCCTTTGCACAAGACTGGTGGTCTCTGTTGATTCCTCCCTTCAAACCCATACTACACTCATCTCAAAAACAGAACTAAACAGAACATGTAAGGACAGCATGAGCTACACATAGATAGATCCTATCTCAAAAAACAAAACAAAACAAACACCACCACAAAAATGATACGGTTACAAAGCATATACACTAGCCAAAAGTCTGTCACCAGCTTTTGATTGCCTATTCTTCAAACTATGTCCTCCAGCAGGACAGTCCCCTACACATACCTCATTCCCATCCTGCAGGCGTGCCATCTGTATGATCTCTGGCTGGGCCTCAGGAGGGCTGCCCAGCAGAAGCACTGGACATCTACTTCCATTGGGCCCGGAATGCGATGTGGGCACATGCAGCAAGTCACTCGTCTGTGGTTCTGTTAATGCCTCTTTAACCTATTTAAGAAAAAGACAGAAACTCATTTTAAGCAAACAGTTAAGGAACTGGTGAGCTCAGGTTCCTGTATATTGAAGTCTAAACCACTCTCAGTTCTCCTGAAGCAGTGGGTGCACCTGCACGCACTTGGACTCACATGTACTCAGCAGACAACACAGGCTCCAAGCTCGCAGAGCCCTGCCTGGTGAAGACAGCCAAGACACTTACCTATGATTCCATTTTGAGAAATCCTCAGTAATTATTCAATAAGGTACAAGAATATTCCCAAGACTATTCCTTATTTATAACTATTGTAAAGAAGTTGGCAAATAAAAAAGCATGGCTCATAGTACTTCCATATCTGAACATTAACAGCCATGAAAAAGCTTTCAAAGAACACTTAATACAGAAGAAATGCTCACAGTATAACAGGTGTGGAAGAAATTAATGAACAAAGTTGTTTATGATGTTCAGTTTGATAAAAGGAAACAGCACCTGATAAGCTCAGTGAATGTATATCCCCTTTCCCTCCCTCACTCTCTACTCCATCTCCTCATATGACCAGGTTTCTGAGGCAGGGGGGTAGACACAGGTGGAGGTAATGGATATCCCACACCCCACTCCCTAGTCTTCCTATGTTCTGTCCCCACCCAGGACTCACCCCTCAGTCCTAGGCCTGCCCACTGCACTCAAATCCAGACACACAGGCTCCTTACTTGTAATTCTTTCACAATGTTTTTCTGTTTTTCCAGTTCTTCCTGGAGCAAGGCCACTTGTCCTCTGGTGTGGGCATTTATCGCTTCAAGATGTTTAATTTCTTCTTCCTGGATTAATACTTGTCTATCTGCCAATTCTTTCTTTACAGCCAATTCATTACATTCATCTGATTTTTCTCTCAATTTTTCTTGTAACAATTCAACCTAAACACACATACAAAAAAAGAGAGAAACAAATACAAGAGATTGTTAAAAAGCCCACCTTCCAAATTAAACATACACACACACACACACACACACACACAATGCAACTGACACGAAAGGAAACAAACAATGTTTTTCTATACGTTGGTCACACAATGAAATCAAAAGAATACAATACGGTTATTTTAAGCAGGTCATTTTCTATCCACCGAAATAAACACAGTAATATAAAATGTTAGTAAAGTAAAACTTATTTTGACCAAAAAGAATGATGGGTTATTACTCAGCAATATAAATAAAGGGAACTACAGAGACTGCAGCAATTGAAAGAATCACCCAGAGAAAAAGGCAGTCCCAAACAGTAACATGCAAGATGCCATGTATACAGTATTGCAGAAATTACAAAATTATAGACACAGAGGCCAGGTCAATAGCTGCCAGAGACTAGAAGGGCAGTGGTGTAAAGGAGCAGCAGGAGCATCCTCCTGGCCTGATGCTGGGGTGTAACTGCTTTGCTATCAATACCAGGTGATAGTCCTAGGTTTAAGCTCTACAGATGTGACCACCGAGTACAAAAAATCTCTGCATCTTATGACTATGTGGGAATCCAATGTCCTCAAATCAGTTTACTTTTTAAAAAAGAATAAGCAAATCAACTAGAGCTACCTCAGACAAGCAGATGTAGACAGCTGTAGACTCAAGCAAAAGCAAGAAACACAAGCAAGAAGCTGGGTTGTGCACAAAGTCCCAAGCTGCCCTTGCAGGATGAGAGAACAATGTGGGTCCCCACAGTGTGCACCAGCTGTGGAGAAGGGTGAAGCAAAAGTGGGCTCAATGCTGTCCATCGTACCTCCTCATCCAGCTGTAGGCACTGCTGTTTCCTCGCATATGGAAGGCAAACATGGAAAGTAAGATAGACCTTAAAAACACTGTGGAAACGTGGCTACCCCATAAGCCTGGCACACAGTGGGTCACCTACCTGGCTGTCATGGGGGCTTGGAGGCCGCAGCTTGGCTGCTTGGCGGAGCTGCCCCTCCAGCTTCTGTATTTCTTGCTGGAATTCTTCACGCTCATGCTCTCGCTCAGCAGCCTGCTCCTGTGAGGATAGGCTACATGTTAGCAAGGCCTCAGAGAGGAGCCTGTGAGTGACCTGCACAGTTGAGGACCAGGTTCCCACTGCACACATGTCCACACACCCAGCAAGGGCATTCTCTGGGTCCCCCTGATCACAGTCATTTTTGTAAAATGGAGTTAAGTAGAGGAAAAGCCTTTACATGACAAGGAGGCCTCTGAATTAATGACACCGTTTAGAAACTGGCAGATAGGATGCCATAATAAGAGCAGATTAGGTTCCAACAAAATGACCCAGGGATCCTGACAGGGCAGGCAAATCACAAGACACCTCCTGGGACTGTGAGAACTTCTCTCAGGACCATAGGAGAGAAGCAGGCAAAGAAGATGAGAGAACCATCCTTTAGAATCATTACTACAAAAGACAGGAAGGACCAGAGATGGGGCAGCATGACAATGTGAGAGCACAAGATGCTCATCTCAACCACACACTGGAGTCTGTCCATGCTGTAATGATGACTCCAGGATAAAATCTATCATGTAAACTCCTTACGTCCATGAACTGCCGCTGGCTGCGCAGATGCTTGTCCAGGGCTGCCAGCTGCTGCTTCAGAATGGTGGCCTCCTCGATCTGCTGGGCACAGCCCTGGTGCTGTAGGAGCTGCTCCTCCAATTCAGACTCTAAGACTCGCATCTGTGAGAGCAGAGCTGCGCAGTCCTTCTCTGCCTGCCTCCTGGATTCTGAGTGCTCCGTGGTCAGAGTCTCCACTTCCTTCTGCAGTGCTGAGGGACCAAGAAACAGACATGGAGGAGCCTGCCTTGGATCACAGACTGCCACAGCAGAGCTCATAAAATGTGTACACCAAGAAGGTGGAGGTTCACAGAATAGCAGCAGTCATCAAGGGGACCTCAGTGTTCGTGGGAGTAGGTGTGAACAGGGCTCCATCCACAGGCCTCATTCCTTTTCCAAAGCTTTCCTCCCTTGGGGCTGTAACAGAGGCCAGAGCTGTCATGAAAGTGAATTTCACAGCCTGTCGCCTAGTTCAAGGCCAGCATGGGCTACATAGCAAGAGACCCTCAAAACAAACCAGCTAAAACCACTTCAGCTGGATGGAAGCGCCAACCTGACAGCTCCAGGAGAGGCCTTGGGAGGGATCAGGCCTCCAGGACTTCACCTCCTAGGCATGTTTAGTGTCTCACTTTCTTGGTCCTTCCTTTCCTGTGGACTCCCCAGCCTCAAGAACTATGAGATAAACTTCTGTTATTTATAAATTACTCAGTCTCAAGAATTCTGTTGCAGTAACACAACATAGACCAAAACACTAGGTGATTGAGACACTGGGTGATAAAGCGCTGATTTAAGCAGAAACTACAAATCAGAAAGCATCCTGAAAAAGGGCTTGCTGTTAATGTATCCTGAATCCCGAGCCTACAAACTGAAACACTAAATTTTAAGTAGTTTCATTTTACAATTATTTTGGTTTGTAAAAATCTGTCAGTCTTACAACAATCATTACCATTAATGTAACATTCTCAAAAAACTTCATGCTATTAAGTCAGCAGTTAATAGAAAATTAGCCTTAAACACTGTAACAATGTCATTCACAAACTTTTAAGAGGGAAAAGTCGGTTGCACTGCCTGTTTATGGAGACAGGCATAGGCTCCTACTTGGCCCCACAACACTATCTTCCAGGACAGGTGTTGCAAAGGAGGGAAGGCCTTGCCTACAGCCTTCCTCAGGATGTAGTCATGGTCCACAGAGGCTGTATGGGTGCAGCCAGGCTGAGGAGCTACTACGGGGGGCTCCAAGGAGACAAAGAACTCCAGCAGTCCCAGCCTCACTCCTGGAGGCCTTTCAGGAGGTCCTGGCAGAAGGAACCCAACACAACCACAACTGTGGCTTAGTAACTGCAGCAACCATTAGACTCTTATACTTTGCTACAGCACTAAAGTGGAACAACTCAGTCAATTTTTATGAATGATTCTTGAAGATTATAGTATAATTTCAATAGTTTGCCACAAAAGCTCCTAAGTACTTTTCCTCTTTAGTAAATAATATGCAAAATCTGAGGCAAGCACACAGTACAGTACACAGAAATCACACTTGTGCTTACAAACCTGAGTCCCTATGTGCTGCAGTGACACAAGTGCCTACAAAGGAAAACAGAACATCACAGAGGTGGACACAATAAGCCTGAACCAGGGATGGCAGAAACAAATGGAGGGCCAGCAGCATTCCAGGTCATACTTAGGGCCTGCACATCCAAAACTGCTTTTTTGTGGTCACAGGGCCTAACACCCAGGCCTCTGCAATGACTTTTAGAGGAAATGAAGAAAACAAAAACAAGACAGATGGAACACCACAAAGATTACAAAACACAATGCACAACCAGAGAGGATCACACACGAGGCGGTGAGGCAGAGCTGAATCACCGAATGCCAGGCTGCTCAAGGCTCTTGGGAAGGCAGTCATTCACAGAACCCAGGAGAGCCAGAAGCACTCCTGAAAGCCTGAGGCTAGGGAAGCACTACAGATGTGGGTAGAATTATAGCCAGGGAGTGGGGTGAAGATGGGCAGAGAAAGTGCACAAAGAAGCCAATCAAGAATACTCAAAAGACAATCCTGCAGCAGCCTCCCCTCAATTTCAGCCTTAGCTGGGGTCTGCAGGCCTACCCTGCCACAGTGCTGCCCAGTGGACCAGAAATGAAGACATGCAGGGCAGCCACAGTCCCAGATGTTCAGAGGGGCCATGCCAGACCTTGTAGAGGCACAGCATAGTGTAAGTATGGGAACTGCCCAGGTTGGGCCTCAGGAGGCTATCCGACAGTTCTGCAGCCCCCAGGCCTCTTTACTCCAACATTCATGTTAAGCAACCAGAAAAGGAGTGTGGTCCAACTTCCTGCTGGCTATGCCAATAACTCTGGAAATGGGAAAGGGATTAGGTCTAGAAGAAAGAAGGGTCATCCTTTGAGGATCAGTCCAAGAAGACAGAAGAGATTTAATGAAAAATAACAGACCTTGGGCTGAATGAGCTGAGTGTGGGAGCCCACTTAAAACTGCAACAGGCACACAACAAAAGGGATATAGGAAACATCTGCAGTGCAGACTAAAGCAGTGCTAATTGTCCCAGGGCATGAAAGAGAAGAGCCGTATGGTCAGCCATGTATTTCTAGAAGGGTGATGGCAAGCAGGAAAGGCCACTCCCCAGCCTCCCTGAAGGCACAGAACCCTAGATGCTCAGTTTTGCGATTGAGTACACATTCCATTAATCGCATAATGTAGGAAGGAGGCAGGACAAAGGAGAGCACACCCTTACCAAACACTCACACAGACCTACAAGGACTGACAAACCAACCCGTAGTATCCTTGAGCCTCCAAATCACAGTTAAGATAGTTATACTACTAATTTCTCTCAGGTCACTGAAAATACTTTGGACAAATTAAATGCAGGTATCTTGTACTCTGAGTAACTAATTTAAAGATAACTATGCAATGTATTAACCATTGTTACCCTCTAATTGGTGTGTTTTGAATTTTTTCTCTTTAAAATAAAAAAAAAAAAAGGATTTTTCTGAATGGGTTAGGTTGATGCACATAGTCACATTCTCACAGGAAATCAACATTTCATAAGGAACTGCTTTTTGAGCTACCACCTCCTAAAAGGTGATGGAGAGCAGCAAGGCCCTTCTGGAAGTACACACACACACACACACACACACACACACACATACACACACCCCTGCAGGCACATGGGTGGTAGAATGTGTGAGAAGACAGGAAACAGGAAAAAGCAAGAGACGAAAGGGCCTACGAGTTGAGTAATCCATGTCCTAGGTGGACCCTCAAATTCATTCTGACTTGCAGTAACCTTAAAATGGCAACTTTTCAAGCTTACATTTTTTACTGGCTTCGTTTTAAATGTTTAAGACTAACATATCTAGAGTCTAAAAATGTATTAACTACTTGTGCTAAAGCTGTTTTTCCTAATTAAAGGTCCCATTAAACAGTGCTTTTTAGCATAGGATTTATTAGTGGAGCTCAGTGTCAAGAGTCTAGTACTTTAACCTGCTACCCCAAAGCTGTCTTCCCACTCAGAGGATCAGGACACTTGTGTAGCACCAGCCAGCAGAGCTGCCTCCTCTGGACCCTCCCAACCACCCTGCAAAGCCAGCACTTCACAGAGACTAGGACAGGAACAGGCTCTTCAGTAGCAAGCTCCCCTTTCACGTACCGGCTACTCTTGCTTCCGCCTCCACAGCCTGAGCCTCCTTCTGGCTCCGCAGCAGGGAGTGCTCCTCTCTCAACACAGCCTGCTCCTCAGCTGCCTGCTGCAGCTGCCTTCCCAGACTCTCCAACTCCAGGACCAACTGCTGCTCTGATGCCTCCTTCCGGGCCAATGCATCCTGCAGACCCGCCTTCTCCACCTTGAGTCCTTCAAGGAGGCCTAAGAGAAATCAGCTGTAGTGAGGTTGCCTGGACCTTGGAAGGGCACACAAGTTCAGAGCCTGTCCAGACCTGCATGTGAGTACTGGGAGCCTCTGAAAGGTCACTCCTTTCAGGGTCTGAAAGGAGTACCATCACTGGGTTTGAACCCCTGTAGGTGAAGTGCCCCAGGAGAAGATCAGACCTCTGGAAAGAGCAGCACACAGTTAGCTACTCATCTTGTGCTGGGCCAATTCCCTGTGGATGTGCATGTGGGTAAGATCATGTGCCAGACAGCCCATGCCTTTGAACAAAAGAGCAGGGTAGCCCAGTACCAAGTGCCTGATGTGCCCAAGACCTTGAACAACCTAAGCCATGCCTCCAAACACTTCGCTGGAAAATATCACTGGTGCCAGACAGATTTGTTTTGTTCACACATCTTGCTTTTAAACTTCCTCCCTCCTGTTGCTTCTAAGACTGTGGCCATTTCTGTGAGACCGTGCCCACATTTTGCTGACCCACCATCCCCACTCACCCTCCGCTGTGTGCAGTTCCAGGGCCAGCGTGGCTTTTGCAGTGCCCTCTGCCCGTAAGCATTCCAGCAGCTCCTGGTGTTTCTGGACAACTTGTGCTGTCTCCTCATTTTTATGACTAAATTCTTTTTCAAAACGAGAATGAAGCTGGCGTGCTTCCTCTAGCTGTCAAAACACGTTTGAGTGTCATAACTGCACACCAAAAACCACCAGAGCCTCTGTTTATGCTGGCAGAATTCTGTCCCCCAGAGCCCAGCTGCCACATGCTGTGCAAGGCTGGTAATCCTCAAATGATAGCCTTCAGTTCCCTCAAACAGCCTCAGCCCTGGGCACTGCCTCACATCTCCTGGCACTCCCCAGCTCAATAAGTCAGGGGTTTCTAGGCCATCTCCAGGCTGAGGGCCCACTCAACCTCTAAACTCAAAACGCCTACCTCAGCTGACCCCTCAGACACCTCAGCAGCCAAGGCCTTGGCCTCCCCATTAGCCAATGCAAAGGAGACCTTTTCTGGGGCCTAAAATGTCTGCTGGCCTCTCTTGGTTCTTCCTTAAAAATGTCCTAGAGACTCTCCTGATTGTAGCTGTCACTCCATATGCCTGTAGACTCCTTCTCTAGCCTCCATCCCAAACCCGCCCCTTCTTGTAACCAAAGGCCACTCACCTATGAGTACTCAAGGCCCTGCCAGGAGGCCCATCTGAACAGGCTGTGCTCACTGCCTCCCATACAGGCTTCAGAGAGCTCCTATATTTCCCAAGGCTCTGCCTCCTTCCCTCCACAGAGAGGCCTCACCTCTCTCTGTACCTCCCTGTGTTCCTTCCCCAATGCCAGATCCTCTGAAGGGCAGGTTCTACAGGAAGAGAACGTGGGCCCACATAACTCAGGGCGCTTGCTCTACATCCCCACTTCGGGGCACTGCATCACAGGCTCATGACCTGTTGACAGCATCTGACAATTCATCAGATGCTCACATCCATTCCTGCAAGGGTAAGAGGGTGCAGAACAGATAAGGAGAAAGGAAATGGACAGGAGGCCAGGAAGAGAACTCCTGATCTCAACACAAGGAGGGAAAACTCCCTCTATGGCAAGGCTTCCAATAAAAATGCTGGGCTAACTTTGGGGAAATCTCTTCTACTGCTTCCCTCATGGTCCTACTTCATATCTTTCCTAATTGTCTAAAATGTCTAAGAAGCTTAACAAAAATAAGTCTCTTTCTTATGGATAATCTCTAAATGTGAAAATATTCAATGCAGAAATACAATACTGCATGAAATAAAGTAAAAGAAGTGAATTTGTATTTTGCTCAAGTACACTGAGATTCCATTTTTCTTAAACTGAGATTCTATTTGTCATTGATAACAAGCCAGTATCCTCAAAAATTTCAGTTCAGAAGATTCCTAGAGAAGAAGATGAGTGTATAAGAACATAGTGGCCATAACAAAGCTCACAGGTAAGCACCAAGGTGTAAATAAGCATCAAAATATATAACAGGTGTGAAATAGAAAGAAAATGTTCAAATGGAGAGGGGAATACCAGTGAGGGAAGGGAAAAGGAAAAAGGGAAAATAACAAAAAAAAGAGAAAAGAAGGAAAACATGAAAACAAAGCTATTTAAGTGTGGAGAGGAGGAGGGGCTGAAGGGAGGGTAAAGGAATGGGGAAAAAAAAAACATAAACAAAACTTCCTCTATTTTGCCTTGCTTAAAAAAAAATAATAAATAATAATACTGTTTCAGGCTGGCACCAAGGCCAGACTAGGAAGTCAAATCCACCTAGAAACGAAGACATCCTCCACAGGCTGTGGAGTTTGACTGTGGCCAGATACCATGTGACATCACTGGCTATCAAGCCATGTCTTGAAGCCACCTGTCCATCCTACTCATTTCTCTCCAGCTCACCTGTCGGGAAGAGTCCAGCGCCATCTCTAGGAGGCCATCCACAGCCACGCTAAGGCTCTGGTAGACTCTCTTGATCGGCTGCTCACATTCTAGTGTACTCTCAGGGCTCATGAAAAAGCTCTCACATACATGACTGCTGATGTCCTCCACTGAAGACATCTCTGCACCTTCAGGTAAAATTCTGTCCAACTCCAGCAGAGCTGCATCATCTGACCATACCTCTTCTAGTGCTGGAGATGCAAAAATAAGACATTGGCACATGGCACTCATGTGCCAGGCCAACCCAAGCACCCTTAGAGCCAGCATACACACAGGTAACACACACCCATAGGCAATGTGGAAGTCCGTGAAGGTCCAACCCTTGTTGTCTCAAACGTGGGCACTGGCGGGGAACAAAGAAGGCAGGCTGCCCCAGCCCCAAGGGGAACCCACCCTGGCACACACCTGTGGATGGGGCCTGGTCTACAGCTGTGGTGTCCGCATGGTCCAGGAGGAGCCCCACACGCTCACCGATTCGGCTCTTCAGGGCAATAGCCGCCTTGAGTGTCTCTCCAAACAAGCCTAGCAATCTCCTTAGGGCATCATGAAGTGCTCTCCTAAGACAGGAAACCACAGTCACCAGAGTCAGCCTGTGGCTTTAAGGAATTCCCACATGTTTCAGGAGATGCTGCTGACTGGTTTGCATACTACCACGGTCCCAAGAATGCACGAAGAGGACACAGATTCCCACCCAAAGGCCAAAAGGCACAGCCCGACAGGTGCAGATCAGGAACTGCTTCTGGAAGAGAGAGGGGCTTGTGGAGGTACCACAGGGGTTCAAAAGGAGATTAACAGTGTTTTTTTTTCTAGTTCAGAAAACAAGAAGATCTGGCAAAGCCAAGGGGCATGAAGGCAGGTATTTTTTACATTCCTAAGTTACTTTCCTCGCTGTTTTAAATCTTGTTGTTTAAGCGACAAGAATAGCTTGCTTTGGTCTTGCCCAACAGCTAGGAAGCTGCAGATAATTCTAGTGAATACAGTGAGCGGGAAGGAGGCCACACCACTGCCAGTGGGTGGCAAGTCAGACAGCACAATGACAAGGACATACTGACCTTTCACCCTGAGACAGATCCACATCTGCCCTGAGCATGGAGATGAGGGTAGCACCCTCTTGATTTTCCCTCTCACGCCTCTGCTGCAGCCTCTCAAGCTCAGCACGGCACTCTTCTACCTCCTGCCTTAAGGATAAGACTTGGTCTTTCAGCTGTTAAAAAATAGTGTTAAACCTCAGTTACAGCAATTTACTTAAAACTAAGTGGCTGCCAAGAAATTTCAGCATAACTTTCAAAAGATCACATTTAATAAAAATATGGAAAAAGGTAAACAAAGGAGTGATTAAAGATAAAAATTACTAACATGGTTTCTCCCATTATTAGTCAGTTATAAATATTAAACAAAGACAGACAAACCTTCGACCAGGGTATGAAGGGGCAGGCTCACAAGGTTTATCTCCTAACTAGTAATTCAGAGCACAATTTCTGTTCCCAGTCATTCACAATAAATATTAGTTGCCAGCCAGGAAGAGATCCTTCTTACATATTTGTCTCTAAAAATAAAACTTTGGTGTTTTGGTGGCACAGGTAGGTGATAGGTGGCCCCAGCTTCCTTGGATATTACTGGTTACCACGGGCTTCCTACAGCTGCCCAAAGCAGTGGTCACAGAGCCCAGCAATCTTCTGGCATAGCTTAAGAAAAGTAGCAAGGGAAACACCTCAGCTGGATGGAGCTCTTCACCTCAGGATTCTCTACCCAGGGCCAGCTGCCAAGCACCGGGACTGCCCAGGACCCAACAAGTTCACCAGAATAAATGAAGGTGTCTTCCACATGGGGAGAAGGCCACACAAGACTTTGCCACATGTGTTCACACGGCAGTCAGGCAGACAGCCCAAACAAACACCTGCTATAGGCACAACTCAGACAGTGCCTCAACTCCTGCTCTGCAGGGCTAGCAATTACAGCTCAGAACAGAGCAGGAAGAACCAAAATCAAGAGGTCTCCAGGTAGAGGAGCCCATGCTGGGACAGCACCGAACAGGCACTGAATCCCTGCCCAAGAAAGGGACAGCAGCCACATGAAGTACAGACAACACAGAGGACAGAGAGCTGAGTGCAGAGTCCAAACAAATGCTGGTACAAAAAGACGCCTTGGGCCAGAGGTAAAAGAGCCAATCCTCCATCAGAAACAGAAACCAACTGCATACACAGTGTCAGTGGACAGGAAACAAAAAAAATATAGATTCTATAAAATTACTGACCGAGTCAGACCAAGACAAAGAATCATAATGAAAAATATAGAGCAAAAGTATTAAAAAGAATACTAGAAGCTGGGTGTGGTGGTACCTCCGTATTCCTAGCACTGAGGAAGGCTGAGGCAGGAAGATCAAGTTCTACCAGGGCAACTTAATGAGATCGTATCTCAAAATAAAAAAGGCTGGGATGCAGCTAAGTGCAAGCATGGAAAAATCAAAACAAAACAAAAGAATATTAAAAAATAAAGTCAAGCAATATGTGAAAATCATGCACAAGGGATTTGTTTTGTTTTGTTGTACTGGGGGCTGAACCCAGGGTCTTCACACTGAGCTTCATCCCAAACACTTTTTGAAACAAGGTCTTATTAGTCACTAAATTCCTCAAACTGGGTTCAAACTTGTAATTGTCCTGCTTCAGCCTCCCAGACCTTTTGGATTACAAGTCTTTACTGTTTTTATTGGTACTAGAGTTATAAAACTACACAGGTCTTGAGTGGTATATCTCTAGCCCTATATTCTCCATTAGTTATGTTATGTTCTAGTATTTTTACATAATGAGAAGCTCTTTGGGGATTTACATATAATGCACGTTTCTATTTATCTGAGCCTCCTAGTCAAAATATTAGAGGTGTAAAGTAGAATGTTAGGTGCTGAGGGAAGAGAACAGGGAGTTTGAGCTTACAAGACAAAAAGTTATGCAGATGCATGGTAGTGATGGACACATAACACTGTGAATATACTTAACGACATCCAAATGTACACTTAAAAATAATTAAATAACTTTTATACACTCTCCCCTTCTCTCCAAAAAACTGTGTGTGATGAAAGGCCCATCTACATACCTGCTGAGTCTGGCTCTCCGCCTGCAGCTGCAATGGATCCTGCTCCTGGGAAAGTTGCCGGACCGGCTCACACTCAAGGCTCCATACCTCCTGTCCACCCACAACAGCTTTTTGCTCACTTTCAAATTTGTCCTGTACAAAAGCATATTAATAACAACAAATGCCTCTAAGCAAGACATGCTCATCCCATGTCTCTGCTGCACACTATGATTCATCACATCTCATGAACATCTGCGAGCCACTGCCCTCACCAGGAACATCAACTCCACACAAACGCACACACTCACATGGCTCCCTCACAGGACCTAAGTAAGGGAAGCCCTCACTCCAAGAACACGTGTCCAGGAGGTCAGTGTCATTTGACAGCTGCCTTGGCAGTGGTGGCTGAAATTATCACACAGGGTCACACTAAGAAACTGTCTACCAGCAGGGGTCCTAACCATGACAATTCCAGACATTCAGAAACCTGGTTCCTTCTGTTTTAACAGGCAAAGTCTTCCTTTTTCAAGTATGTGTTTTTAATAACCTGAAACTACTACATTAGTGAAATAAGTTTATTTTTTAAAAAAACTACAGAGGTAGGGAGAGCCAACAGGGCTGACTAGAGAGTTACATCAGAGATACTCAGAGAAGATTTACTGAGAACACAGGTATTATAGAGTAGGGAAGGACTTAACACTCTGAAATGGAAAATTAATCACAGAGATACATGTAGATCAAACCAGGTATCTGCAAAGTTGCAAGGGGAAGCTACACTGCCGTGAATGGCCTGTACCAGCTTACCCTGCTCCTTCGGGGAGCAGCTACTGGAAAGCATCCCAAACAGCCTGAGGGAACAAATGTGTATTGCAGAGGCTGGACACCCGGCACAGACTCTGTATATGCCACCCCCTTCTCATCTCAGTCGCATCCTCTCTAGCAATCAACACAGGCAAAAGAAGCCCCTCTCCCACCTCCACTACAGGCATAGAGGGATAAGCAAATAATGCCCGCCAGATCTACCCAGTGTCACAGCTGCTTACAATCAGACTGAAACTAAGGCAAGGAGGGAAGCATGTGGACACCTGGGCTGTAAGGTGCAATGGTCACGTGGGAACTACATATACATTCTCTTAACAGAGTGTTTGATCTGAGTCTGCATCAACTCTTCTGTTACTTTCTTTGCTGCCTTTTTTTTTTTTTTTTTGGATTAACTGTTTTAGGGTTGGGGATTTAGCTCAGTCGCTTAAGCACTTTCCTGGTAAGCACAAAGGTCATGAGTTCAATGCCCAATATCCCCACCAAAAAAATTTTGATTGTTTTCTCCTTCTCTTCTCCTTCTTCCTTTCTTCAATTCTAGCTTCCACAGCACCCAATTTTCTTATTTTTTACTTGTTTCCCCTATATTTTGCTCTCAGTCATTTCTACCATCCCTTGTAATAACATTCTGTCCTTTCTAGTCTGTTCCTTTTGTTCTTCCTTATCTCATCTACCCCCTTATCTTCCCTTCTTACAGGTCTCTTCTTCACCTTATAGGTGCACAAATAGTATCAATCTTTCAAGTGCCTTTAACCCCAAATTACATTTCCCTTCTACATCCTGCTCCTGTCCCCACAAATATCTTCTTAAAACCCTCATCACAAACCCTTCAACTACAAAAGACCTCTAAGAGAATAAGACCTCCCCTATTCAATATTTTTACCTATCATTACTTCTATCTACCTCTCTTCCTTCCTACACTTCTCTTTCAACCTTACCTCCATCTCTTCCCTTCCCTTTTCCTTCCACATCGCGGACTGTAAAGGGTGAAAGCATAAATACAAAGCTTAACACATATAAGTCATAACATGACTGCATCTGTTGATGCTACTACAACTAGCAGCAATTCTCTCCTCAGAATACAGTGATAGGGTCCAAATCATTTAAACGAAAGAGCTAAGTAGTAAACACTATTTCTAAACAAATAAAGCTACAAATATATCACTGGAAAGCATAATTCAACTAAAAAGATCTTTTTACCAACTATAATCTCTCCTTATTCTACTTGACCTCAGCCCTCAATACAATTAAAACACATGCACACGTATGCACACATGCATGCACACACACAGAGCAAGGACACGAGGAAAAAAAGGCAACGAAGAAAGGCCTCCAAGATCTCCCAACTCTCCCAAGGCAGATCCAGGGGGCACTGATGGAAAAGAAAGTAAACACCTGGTAGCAAAGCTTTGCAAACTGACTAACAGAGAGGTAAAGAAACTTGGTGAGTTCAAAGAGGACATGATCCAAAAGTTCATGGAATTATCACACAAAATGACCAACGTGGATACAAATAAAAATTTGGAAGAGCTGACCAAAACTGTTCAAAACATAAACAGAACAAGAAAAAGCACAGAAATCATCCACAGAAAAAGAACACAATGTCAGGAATAAATTAACACCTTTCAGTAGTAACTCACAATAGTAACGGCCACAACTTCCTAATTAAAAGATTAAAAATTAGCAGATTGAGTCAAAAAATTAAAATCTAATAGTCTGTTGCATTCAAGAACCTCATCTAATCCAAAAAGATATTCACAAACTAAAAATCAAAGGATGAAAACAGTATTTCATGTGCGAGGATCTTGAAAGCAAGCAGGGATAACAATTTTACTCTCAGAAAAAGTAAACTTCAAACTAAAAATTCGTCATTTTAAATAGGGGAAAACTGAAAGCATTACCCCTAAAACCAGGAAAATGATAAAAATGCCCACTCTCAGCACATCTGTTCAACACAGTACTTGAAACATAAGCTGCAGCAATCAGTCAAGAGAAACGAATAAAAAAGATATGCACAAGAAAATAAGTCAAATTATGATCTACAGATAACATGATGCTCTACATAGATGCCCCAAAACATTCTACCAAGACTCCTAGAATTACCAGATTCAGCAATGTGGCAGGACACAAAAGCAACACAATTAATTTCTGTGTATAAATAAAGCATAAAATACAAAATCAATACAACATTCCCATGTATCAATAAAAAAATCACCGAGATAGAAATTAAGTTAACAATATCATTTGTACTACATCAATCTATCTCATAAGTTTAAGTCCTGGAGTGCTGGGAAACCAAGCAACCCCCCTCCCCCTGGTGAGCGGCTGTGAGCATGGCAGGATATGGTGGCCCCGGAAGGGAGTCTCTGGGACCTGGAGTGCTGGGAAACCAAGCAACCCCTCCCCACCTGTTGAGCGGCTGTGAGCCTGCCAGTGCTGGGGCTGAGAATCAAACATCACGTCTCCCCTCCCCCCTACGTTAGCAAGTGGGAGCCAGTGATCTGGACATCCCTTGAGAGGTTAACCATAGGCAATGTAGTAAATAGGGGGGATTTCCTTCTACCATCTCTTTGAAGGCAAATACTTTTATCCCCGTTTTGCTTTGTTCTAATTAATGGTGTTATTTTAGCCTGTTTTGTTTTGTTGAACTTCAATATACATTAAAGTATGGACAGCTATTTTGAAGAGAAAGAGACTCTATGACAGCCGTTAGTGACTTTCCCTATTGTCTGGTTTTGACAACCTAAAATGCCTTCCTCATTCTGTTCGGATCAGTTTTATACTATGTTGTTTTGTATGAATTCTCTGTATGCAAAGATATAGACAACTATTTGGAAGAAAACAAGAGACAATATGATAGATAGTGAAGATCTCAGGTCATCTAGCTTTGAAATTTGTATCTCTTATATTGCTTTCTTATGTCCTATTCTGTTCTGTTTTGTTATGTTTAAGTTTACTCCTTTAAAATAAATAAATATAAAAAATAAAAAAGAAACTCAAAGAAGACATTAGCAAATGGAAAGATATTCCCTGTTCCTGGGTAGATAGAAACAATGCTGCCAGGATGGACATACTTCCCAAAACTGATACATAGATTCAACACAATTCCAATCAAAATATCTATAGCATTCCTTGAAGAGCTAAAGGAAACAATTCTAAAATTCAAAGTGAACCAGAGACCTAGGAGTAGCAAAGGCAATCCTGGACAACAAAAGCAAAGTAGAAGCTATCACAATACTACCTGACTTTAAGTTACAAAGCTACAGTGATAAAAATGGCATGGTACTGACACAAAAATAGACACGAGGATCAGTGAAACAGAACTGAGGAACAGAAATAAAAATGAAAGAAGAAAGCTAAGTGTAGCCTCAAAGGCTGTGAAACCTCTTCACACAAATATGCACATAATGGAAGTCTCAAGAGGAGAAAGGAGAAAGATATACCAGATTCTGAATATATAATGGCTGAAACTCCTCAAATCTAATGAAAAAATATTAATCTACACACATGAGTGGTCAATGAAGTCCAAGCAGAAAAAACTCCAAAGAGATACACACCTAGACATGCCACAAACAAATTTCTAAAATAATGACTGACAGTGATACAAAAGTTGACTCATCACATACAAGTGATCCTCAATAGGATGAACAGCTGACTTCGCATCAGAAACCAGAGGCCAAAAGTCAGTGTGCAGGTGGGATGTTCAAAATACTGACTGGACACTACATGTAAGAAACTATCTTCCCAAAACAAAGGGGAAATTAAGACATTTCCAGAAAAACAAAAGCAGAAAATTAAACACTAGCAGAACAGCTATACAAAAAGTACTTAAGTCCTTCAGGCTGAAAAGAAAGAACACCAAACAACAACCTGAATCCACAAGACAAAATAAAAGGCAACAGTAAAGGTAATTATATAGGTAAATATATAAGACAAAATGAATACAATTTTTGTTTGTAACTTTTTCCTGATATAAAAGACAAACCTATAAAGCAATGAAAACAAAACATACAAAGAGAGAATGAAGCCATACAGACTAATAAATTATTAAAATTAAGTTCATATTAATCCAAAGTAGACTGTCATAAGACATTCATTGAATTCCCCCAAGGCAAGCACTAAAGAAATAACTGAAAAACTGAACCAGGCCTGGTGGTGTAAACATGCACTCCCAGCACTCTGACAGGCTAAGGCACAAAGATCTTAAGTGTGAGCCCAGTCTGAGCAACTGTCTCAAAATAAAAGATTTTTTAAAGCATTGGTGCTGCGCATTGTGGTACACACCGGTAATCCCAGCACTTAAGTGGCTGAGGCAAGAGGTTCTCTGCAAGTCTGAAGCCAGCGTGGGCTACATAGTAAGTTCAAGATCAGCGTGAATTATGTAGTAAGATCCTATCTCAAAACACCAAAAATAAATAAATAAATAAATGATTTTTTAAAAAGGCCCTGGGTTCAAGCCCAGTGCATACATGTATGTATTTTATATACACACACTTTAAATATGTAAGTATTTTATATACATATCAATTTTTTATGTTTAATAAATATATATAAAAATAAATAAGGAAATTAAAATGAAGAAAAGACAGTAACAAAAGAACACAAGACCAAAAAAGACTTAAGACACAGAGGAAACAGCTATAAAATACCATCATATGCCTCAACATGTGTGACCCCAGAAAGAAGCTAGACCCAAAGACCACATGATTCCATGAAAAATGTGGAAGGGAAACTCACAGAGACACAGAGGCTGCAGGGGCCAGGAAGTAGTGGCTCCGAGAGGTGGCTACTGACCAAGGAGGGGTTCTTTCTGAAGGGATGAAAAGCTCTACAATCAGATGGTGCTGATGGTTACAAAATTCTGTGGATATACTAAAAACCACTGACAGCCTAGTTTCTAAGACAAGAAAACTATGTTCTAACTTTGCATGTAAAAATTAACTGAAAATAGAATTCCTTCTTTATGCTGTAGGTGCAAAGGGTTAGCAATAGGTCAGCACAGCTGTATTCCCTGCTGCTCTGTAGCCCAGCCAGGAGAGAGCAGCTGCAGGTAAGTCAATCAAGCACCATGCTCCCATTTGGGCAGCAGTTTATGGCCATGGTTCAGTAGGCATATGAATTTTTTCAGCACCAGACACCACCTTATTCTATCTTTTAAGTGTGATAACACAAAGGGAAGAGAGTGAGAAGAACTTCTAGGCCATCTGCCTGTACTTGTGCAACTTGCCTCAGCCTCAATCATCACAAACTGGGTCTCATGTAAACATAGCACTGAAGTCACACTTTCAAGTCCTCTTTTTTTTTTTTTTTTTTTTTTTTTTTTTTGAGGCAGGTTCTTCCCGTGCAGTTCAGGCTGGCATCAAACTCGCAATGAACCTCTCGTCTCAGCCTCCTAGTGCTGGGATTACAGGTATGGGTCACCATACTTTCAAGTTCTTAAGGCTTGTTTTGAGTTAATAGGTCAGGTAACTGTACAAACATTCTCTTTTGCAACAGACTTACTATTACTCAAAAGAAAACATTCAGAGCAGCTTCAAGTTAGGACACTACAAGTTTCCCAAGTACTTTAACTGCCCCTAGATTTCCTGACCACCTCCCAGTCCCAACCCAGAGCAGAGAGTGCCCCACAATTCTGTGGTCACCACTCACAGTGCTAGGTGGACCTTGAGAGCTGACCTTCAGGTCAAAAGACAGGAGCCCAAGCCCCAAAGGTCCAATCTCTGACATGAGCCCACAACACCACACTTTCATCCTGAAAAACTAGGAGAAAATTAGGGTTTCAGAAAAGGCAGCCCTGTAGTACAAATGATAAATCACAATTAATAGTGGAGCTGGATAAAGGGCCACAAGATGGAACTGGCAGCAGGTACTTCCTCCTGGAATCTTCCACTACCCACAGTCCTGATGGCAACCCAGGTTGAATTCAGTGGTGTCCTGAAGCCCAATGGGTAAAAATGCTTCAAAGCAAAGTTCTCTCTAGCACAAGGGGTGTGGCCGAGGGCAAGACTATCCTCCTGACCTCCACAACCCATACAGGAGCATGGACAGCAGCACTCTGGAACTCACCACAAAAACAGGTGTGGTGTTTCCTATGGGGAAGGCTACCCAGGTGAACATTGCAGGTGGGTCTGCTCTACCAGGGGCTCAGTGTCATAGACAGCTAAGTTAGAGTAAAATAAACAGGGAAGAGAGGGACCAGACCCTTGAAGGAGTCAATGCAGAAGATGAAACATCAGAACTGTGGCTAGAGACAAACTGGAAAAGAGCCAGGCCTGTAAGTCTCCTTAGAGAGAGCAGATTGGGCTAGGACTGCAATCAATACCACCTGGTCCAGTAAGTCCAGAAAAGGCATCAGACAAGTGCATGACTAAAACACCCTGACCCAGACACCTATCCCTTCCCCCAGAATGTGTTTGATCCTTCTACATGAGAAGCTACAGATAAGCTGAAGTTAGTGATGTCCACCATATAGCCTTGCTACATGCCTGGCTTCCTTATTGGGTATATATTAGCTAAGCAACTACACTTGTAACCCAAAAGGTTGTCCTTAGCTTAGCCCAGTATGGCCTGAAATGTGGTCATTTTCATGTATAAAAACACTCAAAGAGCCACGGTGGCAACTCATTTGGGACCCCTCCTGTCTCTCAGGAGCGTTCTCTCAATAAATCTAGCCTACTCTTAACCTCCTTTGCCCTTGTATCCACTATTTGCTTATCAAGAGACACAAACTTGGCACATCAGACATCTAACAAGCTGGAGGTCACATCCCTGTGACATCAGGTCATGGCATTTCTCCTCCTCCACACTTTGTTGTCTCAGGAAGGTTTGATGGCAGTTTTCTGAGACTACTAATGCACAAAGCCTTACAAATGGGGTGGGCAGCAATCATAGAAAGCTTCACAGGGGCCAACCTCCCAGACACCAGACCCATCCCATCCTGTGCGCCTAGCCTGCAGCAACCCTGCAGCAAGCAAAGGAAACACTCAGATAGGCCAGGAAGTTCACAGGCAAGTGGCCAGGGCACAGAACTCAGAGGCACTGACTTGACTGGACACACAGAAGGGCTCACTCTGCAGACCTTAAACACTCCTTTACAGAAAATTACTCCCACCTCCAGCTTGGATTAAATCTCTGTTTAGTTCACCATTTCCTAAACGTTAAGATTAATATAATAGAAGATGGGGTTTTTCTTGTTTTTTTACCCCTAGGACTTTATATATGCTAGGCAAATGCTCTACTACTAAGCTACATTCTCAATTCTACCACAGATTTTCACTTTAACAATAACCCACAACCTTCAGACCAACTTACCACAGATTTTCTAAAAGAGTTTTTAAAAGCTAGATTTTCAAAACATCCACAGAATTACAGAATATCATACATATCTTAGTGATAACAAAACGTAATAGAAACACCTGGAAAAGAAGGAAAGAAAGGGACAGAACACCAGCATGAGAATGAAGACAAGTTCACTTGACAGTGAATTAGAAATGTTCAAAGCACAACTAAACTGATCAAGGGTCCTCTCAATACTTTCAAACACTGACCTACAAAGAGATTTGATTTGCATCAAGGAAAACAAGAAGTGGTGCTGCACCATCACTGCTGGCCACACACGGCCAACTCCTGTACTCCACAGCTTTACCTAATGTTAACAGCACAGAAGAATTCTTCATGAGACACACACTTTCACCAAAAAGAAAGCAGGCTCACAATGTCAGAGAAAGTTTCTCACAAACCCACTTCAAAGGGCAGTAACAGAAGTAATCCAATCAGCTCACAAGCAAGCAAAAGGAGGTTGCTGACAGCAACTCTGCTCTTCAGACAGGTGCAGTGATATTTGTGGCCCAGATGGAGCACAGCCACACAGCAAGAACAGTGTGTCCCTGCTATTTTAGGACAATGGCCCTGAGACCTCAGGGAGCGTCCTGTGAGACTTTCTGTTATGCCCATCTGAAGGAGAACTGGAGGGACAACAGACGAGGTATCTCACAAACATGGCAGTGAGTCTGACCAAGCCACAGACCTGCCCTCTGGACAAAGGGAACAAGAGTACATGGGTTTATATCACAGAAATGATTTGTACAACTCCAGCCAGGACAAGGCAAAAGTGAGCTGTCTTGGGGGTCTGGGACCTGTGTGAACACAGAACAATATTAAATGCTTCTAGAAACTGGCACACGATATGGTTTCTTCTTCAGAACATCCGTAAGTGTTTTGTTAGTTAGATTATGTGGTGTTTTTGTGACAGTGGCTGCCATGGGGGCCCTGGTCTACTGCATTTGTTTAGAATAGTGTTCCCTAATAATGTCTCCTGCATGCAGACACCATGTACACAGACTCCACTTAGGTTTCACCTATATAGATGTCCCAGCACCTATGTCCAGAGCTTCATGGCATCCAATCCTATGTCCTCAAATACCAAGTGCGACTAAAGGCACCAGCGCTCTCAGCAGCATACAACAGCAGCACCCTGTGGGAAGTGTGCCATTCACTCAACTGTGAAGCCTGTTACTGTAGTGCCTGCAGCTTGTGGAGAGCTACCTGCACGGCCTGCTGCTTCTGTCTCTCGGCCATGTATGCATGTCCCAGTGCCTACAGGGTGGCCTGGTGCTGCTGCTCCAAAAGTAGAAGCTCAGCACTCACCCTGTCTAGGGCCACAATACTCTCCTCTTCCAGCAGATGCCTCTGATCATACAGGGCCACAACCATTTCTTCCTACAAATAGGGCACCCACAAGTGTCACATCCTGTTGGGAGCCGTGGCACTGTCAAGTCATCAGACGCGGCGACTGCAAGGCCTGTGGGAAAGTACAAAAGCCTGAGCTAGATTACCCCTCTCATCGAGCCCGCCTGTGTGGCACCTGTTTCTTATCACCCCACTAAGTTCCCGCCTCACAGGGTAGTCTGCCTAGCTATTAATCCTATATATAGCCAGTGCCTCCACCCCCGAGAGAGAGACTGAAGCACGGAAGGAGCCGCGGGGAGCGGACCGGTAGAGGCTTCGGGGGAGACTGAAGCACGGAAGGAGCCGCGGGGAGCGGACCGGTAGAGGCTTCGGGGCAGACTGAAGCACGGAAGGAGCCGCGGAGAGCGGACCGGTAGAGGCTTCGGGGCAGACTGTATAAGGAGAGAATAAAGAAAAGCCTGACCACCGCCAGACCTTGTCGTGTGTCTTTCCTGCCGGCCGGGAGCGACATCGACATTTGGTGGCCCGCACGGGGATTGATCAACCCCGAGACGTGGCGGTGGACTGCATTCTCCTACACAGTGCTGCAGCTGCAGGACAGGTGAGTAGAGGATAAGCCTGGGCCCTGGGTGGCGCGCACCTACAGGGTTTGTAGACTCCTCTCAACCTCACGCGTAAGTGGCGGGTTTCTTGGGCCTCACGCGGTGAGTATGAAACATAACACCAGAACTTAAGGTAATAAAAGAGTGTAAAACATAAACATAGAAGTAAAAATAACAGAAGATATATTAAAAATGGGAAACATGCCAAGTAAAGATACACAGCCTTGGTGTTGGTCCTTCGGAGACTCCTAAAGTCCAAGGACCTCAAGGTGGGGCGTAAGACTTTAGAAAATTTCCTTGCAGAGATTGACAGCTTTGCTCCCTGGTTTCTGCCTACAGGGCATGTAAACCTGCCCTCCTGGGAAAAGTTGGGCAGAGACCTTTCCCTAGCAGAACGGGAGGGTAGAGCTTCAGTCTCTGCTCGTCCATTGTGGGAAATGATACACACGTGCCTAAAGAGTGAGGGTAGTTACGGGGGGAGCTCTCAAGAACTTGTAGAAGTACGCGAGGTGTTTGAACAGGCACAGTGAGGAAGCTCCCGAGAAGGGTCCGTCAAGGAGGGCAGAGATACAAAAGAGGAAGCCGAGGCGCGGTTTGTGTCTTTCCGCAGGAATCGGGACGAGAACCAATGTGGGTCCCAGAGAGGTTGACGCGACAAGTCCCTCGACTGAAGATCAGGCCTGTTCCACCAGAGGCCAACCGCAGACCCAACAACAAGATGAGCCCTAAAAGAACTGCAGGACAATCCCTTTTTGGGGGCCTGGAACGGCTTGCTCCCCTATGTGCTACCCTTGTATACGCATGGCTCGCTCGCATGGCCTACGACCGCGTTTAAAAGTGACAGGCTTCCCACATTCTCCTCCCTAGACAACAACATGTAGCAGGGTGGGTGAGTCAATGACGGGTAAGAGCGTGCCTCCCCAGCACGACTCAACCTAAGCCAGGCCCTACCCCATTCCGCTCGAAAGCCGCTGGATTGTTAGATAAATTTCTCTCCGAGGGGATTCGTGGAGAGAAATGAGTGCATGCCTATGTGCAACCAGGTTCCGTCCGGTTCATTCCTGGCCCTAGAAAAAAGGACGAGGGCCTCAGGGCCTTGGTGGACCCTGGGACGGCCGACCAGGGTCTACGCTAAGGGCCTACGGTGGGCCTCAGTTCGGGGCATAGGCCTCTGCACTCTATCCAGGACGGGCTGCGATGCGCGTAGCCATCATTTAAAATAAAATAGGGGGAGATGTTGGGAGCCGTGGCACTGTCAAGTCATCAGACGCGGTGACTGCAAGGCCTGTGGGAAAGTACAAAAGCCTGAGCTAGATTACCCCTCTCATCGAGCCCGCCTGTGTGGCACCTGTTTCTTATCACCCCACTAAGTTCCCGCCTCACAGGGTAGTCTGCCTAGCTATTAATCCTATATATAGCCAGTGCCTCCACCCCCGAGAGAGAGACTGAAGCACGGAAGGAGCCGCGGGGAGCGGACCGGTAGAGGCTTCGGGGGAGACTGAAGCACGGAAGGAGCCGCGGGGAGCGGACCGGTAGAGGCTTCGGGGCAGACTGAAGCACGGAAGGAGCCGCGGAGAGCGGACCGGTAGAGGCTTCGGGGCAGACTGTATAAGGAGAGAATAAAGAAAAGCCTGACCACCGCCAGACCTTGTCGTGTGTCTTTCCTGCCGGCCGGGAGCGACATCGACAACATCCCATATCACCTGTCCCAACAGCACTGTGTCCCCCATATGCATTGCCACGTGTGTGAGGTTCTACATGCCTACTACAATTAAATTTCATCACTGATAAAGTCATGGGTTTTCGTTTTTCTTTTAGTGTTGAGATAGGATCTCACTATGTAGTTCAGGCTGGCACTGAACTCACTCCATAGCCTAGGCTGGCCTCGAACTCATAGCAATCCTCCTGCCTCAGCCTCCAGAGTGCTGGGATTATAGGAGTACACCACCAACACCTAGCCTAAGTCATGATCTAAAACACATATTTTCACATGAAATATGCATGTTTCTTCTTTCTGAATATTCTCTCAAAACTTCATTTTCCTTAAACCAAATAAACAAGGACGTACGCAAGAGAGAGTGTCACCCCCACAGTGCCTTCCACCTCTGAGTGGAACACAGGCCACCAGCTGTGGTGACAACTCCAAAGGACAGGAACCACTGGAGAGCCTTCCCAGTAGTAACAGGCAGCTCTCCAGACTCAGTCCTAATAGTACAGCTTCATGTTCTTTAATCTAGTCTAGACATCTGGACTAAATATGCCTGTCCTGCCCACAGGGAGACAGCACTTAGTATGGCATTTGCACCAAGGGCTGATTCTCCTAGCTAAGCCACACAATACAGAGCAGCTTTTTTCATTTCAGGAAGATAAAATACGACAGATAGAAGAATTGTGAAGATGCAATGAGCTGTTTTTTGGGAGTTTTGGGTTGTTTTTTTTGTTTTTTGTTTTTGGTACTGGAGATTGAACTCATGACCTCATGCTTGCCAGGCAGGCACTTATGCCACTAAGCTAAATCCCTGACCCATTTTTTTTTTTTTATGCAATGAGTTTAAACAAGACAGACAAAGCCTATGTACAATCACAGGTGCCCAGGATTTGCAGATGGACAACAGTTTGCAGCAATAAGAACTTTGTCAAAAACTTCCCTCACACTAAATCCTGAAATGCCTACCCAAAGGACCATAACTGCTCTCAAAATGTGACAAAAGCACTTAACTTCAGAAACTATCAGTAACAGGGGGACCAAGGTTGTGTATACACAACACAAAGTCAGATCTATCTACTGCAGCCCCAAGATGAATTCTCCAAGTCCCGGCTCAGGTTAGCCTCAAGGATATAAGTCACACAGAGTCCCACGTGCCTACATACCCCACTGTGCCCAGCACAATCCAGGAAACTTCTGTATCCTCTGCAGTAACAGCAGAGGTTATCACTGCTGCTGGACGTGTGTGAGATACAGACATGCACACACACATGTATCAGCACATGTACAAATACAACAGACGCACAGAGACATATGAGCTCAAGATGTCCACACTCACTTGTAATGTATACAGGCCAGGGAGACTGGCCTGGGGCAGCTTCAAACCTCACCTGGTGCGCACCCTGTAGCTCCCTGTCCAGCACTTTCAGTTGTTCTGCATGAATGGTGCTCATCTCAGTTCTCAGACTGTCCTTTGTAGACTGAAGCTCCACATTATGTTTCTGCTTTAGTTTCTCCAACTCCTGGGTCAAAGTCACTTGGTGAGAAGAATCCCTTAACCTCAGCTGTTCCTCAAGGTCTGCTTGCAAAAGTTCCAGAGCCTGCCTATGCTCATCCCGAACAATCTGCATTTCAGACAGGTAGCAGGATTCTAGAGCATCTAGGTTGGACAAATGTCTCTTCTCCAAAGCACTGATCTCAGCAGCATGTTTTACCTGCAGTTCAGCCACACGAGTCTCCAGGAGCACCTGCCATTCACTCTCCAGGGTAGCCATCAGTTCAGCAAGCTCAGTCTGATGCTTACTCTCGAGCTCTGTCCTCAAGGACAGAAGCCGCTGTTGGTGCCTCTGCTGCAGGAGCTGGAGCTCACGTGTATGCTTCTCCTGGGTATCCCGCAGGAAAGCATCTTGCTCTGTGGCAAACTTCTCCACGATCTTCTTGCGCTCTTCCAAAAACCTGAGACAAAACTCTTAAGTGAATCCAGGGAGCAAGGCCCATAGGCACAGGCTACCTCTACCCAGCCACTCTTCACACAAAAAGCTGCCTCAGTTGTTCAGAAGCTCAGTGTGGGCATGAACCATCTTCAGTTGGAGCTCATGGAACAGTCACCAAAGTTATCAGAACTCAAGCTGCTAGGAGGACATAGAACTACAGAGCAACTGTGCCCACATCCCCAAAGGACTTACACAGCATCTGGCACTTGCAACAGCACTGGGCCCAGGTCACACCTCAGTGGGAAAAGGGAGATGGGCCACACATCAACCTGCACATCTGAGAAGAATGGCAGTGAATTCCAGAAAGGCAGGAAGAATCACTTTTAATGAAAAAAATAAATCCTGTAGGAGCCAGAAGAGACTGTAACTATGACACTAGATAAGCATCAAGTCAGCCATGGACTCAGACCACATACTGGGCTTCCTGTGGTTCATGCCAATGACAGGAACAGAGCCTGTCTTCATGTGCTGACGCTGCCAGACATTGCCTAAGTCCACAGGACTTCTATAGATGGCCCGGGGTGATCCTTCCATAACCTAGAAGCTCTTGGCCCCGCGAGGCTGGACACCTGGCCCAGAGAGGTGGGTCTGGACCTCAACTCGTTTCTGACACCAGAAGAGAACTGCACATCCTCATAATGCTGGAGAGAGGTTGAGTGAAGTGGAGGGACAAGAAGGCAAAGCTAGCAGCAAGTCTGATGGGCCCCTAACAAGGACACTTTCACCATCACAGCCCCAGTACTAAGGACTACAGAAGGACTAACACCAAGAAGGGCAAAAAACCTGGTCACATTCTGAATCTATCTAAAATTTAGGAAAGCATAAGCTTTAGAAAAAAATGTTCATTTTATGGTCAGGCACGGTGGCGTACACCTGTAATCCTAGCACGTCGGGGGCTGAGGCAGGAGGATAGCCATTAGTTTGTGGCCAGCCTGGGTAACACTGTGAGTTCAAGGCCAGCCTGAACTAAATTGTGAGACTATGTCCCCACTACCAAAAAGAAAAAAACAAACAATCCAAAAAAAAAAGTTTATTTTAAAAACCATACACTTAAGTGAAAAACACCATGAATGAACTATTTGTACATGTGACACCTTGGTGAAGTTTAAAGTTCTGCTATTAAAATTTAAAACCACACAAATAAACAGAGGAAGAATAAAAAAGATGCAGACCCTCTATGGCTACAAGAGCTCAGACACATGAGGACATGGCTGTGCTGCTGCTAAAGTGACTGCCATGGAGAACAAAATAGCCCCTCGTGGTTTCAGGGTAAAAACTCAGTACCTGCCCTACCTCCTTCCAGATCTTGCCCACCAAGTCCCACTGCACACCCTCCCAGGGGCCTGCTCGTGGCCTTAGCAAGCACCTTTGGCAGGTGCCTCCACATCACCCAAAGCCCATAGAGTCACTCACCTATTCTGGGCCAGCATCAGCTGGAGGGAACAGTCCTCCTTTTGGAGGCATGTGATATGCTCCCCAGGCTGGGCCGAAGAGGTATCCTGGCCACAACGGCTACACAGTGGAGCATCATCCCCAGAAAGCCCTTGTTCCAGCTGCCGTAGGCAGCGCTGCTGCTCCATGAGGGACTTCTCCAGGTCCAGGATCTGGGCTGCCTGCTGGTCCTGAAGGTTCTTCATTTCTGCTTCCCGAAGCTCAAACCTGCTTATTATGGACTGCTTCTCCAGTTCAGCCTTTTCTTGCAGCTCAAGGAGCATGGAGGTTACCTTCTCTTCATCTTCTCTCTTTAGATCTTCATGTGAACTCTCCCACTCTGCTTCTTTTTTCTTGAACTCCTGTTTCAATAGTTGAATCTTCTCCTCAGCTTTGTTTACTTCTTCTTGGTGGTCTTCCACTAAACTAAATTTTAACTACAGATAGCAGTTTTATTGAGGAGGAAAGGACATAAAGGAAAAGATTATTGGAAGCAAAGACCCACATCTCCTTCCACTAACACACAGATATTACACTGAACACAGAAACAGGAATGTGTTTTATGTTGATAAGAAAGAAAACATAAAATGAACAAAGTTAAAGTTGGGCATGGTGGTACATGCCTATATTCCCAAAACTTGGGAGGCTGAGGCAGGAGGATTGCTATGCATTCAACAGCTTGGGCTACACAGTGAGTTCAAAGCTACCTTGAACTGGATAGGGGTCTCCCTATCTCAAAGACAAAACAAAAAAAACTATCTGCTCACTGAGCAAGGTGGCACAAGCCTGTAATTCCAGCACTGTGGAGGCTAAAGTAAGTTGAGTGCTGTGAATTCAAGGCCAGCATGGGCTACAAAGTAAGTTCAAGGCCAGTCTGAACTGCATAGCAAGACTCTGCCTCAAAAAAAGAAAGAAAAAGAAAAACATTAAAAATAAATAAAACAATCTACTTGCCTCCATAAAAACACCTGGAAATACACACATATCAGTGGAGCAAAACCAGGGTCAGATACAACAGGATTGTGGGATTTTTCCAGAGAGCAGGGGCCTCCTTCAACAACAGCAGGATTAAAGGTTCAAAAGAGATGAGAACAGCACAGGCCCATTGAGTCCCAGTCTCCTAATCTATGATGAACTAAACTAAATTCCAAAGATATCCTGTGGACAAGATCTACCTGTGGACAGGTAGATGAACAAGAAAGCTAAGGATAGGCAAATATCTCAGGTTTTATAAAGGCAGAGTAAATCAGTAAAACATAAACAACATCAGTAAAAAACAAACCCAAACCAAGTATATGTAGGACTGGCCCCAACTCATTTAAACACAGTCCACAGTTCTGCATCCGGGCCACAGCTGAGTAGCTTACACACAGCAATTGTCAATCCCAAGTGAGACACTGACGACTTCTGAAGCCTGGAGATAGCTGTCTAAAGGCTGGCCTGGAGAGGGGCTGATGCTTGGAACGAGGAACACAGAGCCACATCATCTCTCCCTTCTACAGCTTAGTTAACAGCAGAAGCTGACTGTGTGCTACTCCCAAGAACCAGATCTAGAAAGTGAGAACAAAAAGGTCTCAAGATAGAGCCAGTTGGGGCTGGGGGTTTAGCTCAGTGGCATAAGCGCCTGCCTTGAAAGCAGGCAGTCATGAGTTCGATTCCCGGTACCGATAAAAAGGAAAAAGACAAAAAAAAAAAAAAAAAAAATAGAGCCAGTCTCAGCCCAGAACGTAGGCAGATTCCTAACTCATACACACTCAAGGCAGTCTCCAAAAGCAAGCCTTGGAAACAGCTCTGTGCTTGGCCCAGCAAGGAAAAAAGGATATGAATTAAACACTTGCTGAATAACACACCACTTCTGTTTAGAAAAAAATCAACCCTGTGGTTCCACAACACACCATTCACAATGTCCAGGATACAATCTAAAACCAGTGGATACACAAATAAACAAGAAAACTGGTTTCCATAGTGTAGTGGTTATCACGTTCGCCTCACACAAATAAATAAGAAAATCTGACAAATGTTAAAGAGAAAATACAATCAATGGGAACCAACCCCAAGATAACAGTGGAAAAAAGCTTTCAAAAAATCTTTAAATCCTGACCAAAAAAAGACCTGTCACCTCAAATATTTTTATGTGGCAAAACTATTTAAAAAGTCAAACAAAAACCTTTTTGTTTGCTTGTTTGTTTTTGGTTACCGGGGATTGAACTCATGACTCACTCTTGCCAGGCAGGTGCTTGTGCCAATGAGCTAAATCCCCAGCCCCCAAAGACCTTTTCAAATAAGAGAAAATTTGTACAGCAGAATTGCTCAACAAGCAATGCTAAGGAACACTCTACAGGCTTAAGGGAAACACTGACACACACACTCAGATTTCCAGGAGAAAATAAGAAACTAGCCCAAGACTGCTGAAAACTTTTCATTCTCCTCAAATACATGAATTTTCAGAGCTTATCTTATAATGCTGAATTGTGGAATTTATAATATAAGATGAATAGATGAGAAAGATGCAACATAGATAAGGAAGAGGTGGCAAAAGTATCTGAAAAGATGAGACTCAAGTATCTGAAGTGCCAAGTTCACTCTGAGACTGAAAAGACCATGTTCTTATCCCTAGAGCAAGCACTAAAAACATAATGCAAAGAAGTATATCTTAGGTCAACACGTATACTAAAATCAATTCAAGGAAATATGTGAATACTCCAAGATGTGAAAAAAGGAATAGAGGAACATAACCAATGTCAAAAAAGAAAGAGGGGACACACAAAAATTAATAATGCTGGGCATAACGATGCATGCCTATAATCCTAACATGTGAGAAGCTATAGTAGGAGGACTGCCACAAATCCAAAGCCAGCCTGAGCTACATAGCAAGATCCTGTCTCAAAATACAAACAAAATTAGTCAGGGATTTAGCTCAGCGGCATAAGCACCTGCCTGGTAAATGCAAAGTCGTAAGTTCGATCCTCGGTACAAAAAAAAAAAATTAATAGTAATGTGGTACACCTACGTCCAGACATATCATGTACACAGACTCAGCATTATAATTCAAATACAGTCATTATCAAAATGGATTAAATAATACCTAAATATTCACTGTCCACACAAAACTCACTTTAATTTTAATAAAGGTAAAACTGGTAACAACAAAATGCATGTGAAGGCTGGCACAACTATATGAACAAAAGAGAAAGACTTCAAGACAAAGAATATTACAGAAAAGGAAGGAATATTTCATTAATAAAACTAAAAACTTCAGAAAGACATCATAAACATGTATGTGCATAACAACTTCAAAATACTTATTTAAAAAAACTTTGGGAAATAGATGAGTTCATACTCCTTCCCTCATAACTGACTTATCAGATAAAATGGTGACTTTAGGCTGGGGATTTAGCTCAGCAGCATAAGAGCATGCCTGGCAAGGGCAAAATCGCAAGTTTGATTACCAGTACCAAAAAAAAAAAAAAAAAAAAAAGGAGACCTTAGACATATGAGAAATACACACATATATAAATATTAAAGTCATCTAGGAAAGTCTGTTTTTGGTCAACAATGCCTCAAAATGTCATGTAATGTTGATTGTGGACTAACTGTGGCCCATACAGCTTTCTACAGAATTCTGTCCTGAGCTCTACTTGCTACAAGCCTTTACCAATGCCTCTGTTTAAAAAATTACCACAAACCATACGCATAAGTGAAATAAATCAAACTCACATGTGTAAACACCATAGTGTCTCCCTAGTGTAAGAAACTGAACAAGCAAGTAAGATGTACAATATTGTATAAGGGTAAGAAATTGCTCAAAGGGGAAAAATAACTGGGGTAGGGGAAAGTAGGAAAGAAGGAAGGGAAAAGGAAAAATATAAATTTGTGTATATACACACAAACATACACACACACACACACACACATATATATATATATATACACAGACATTATAGCTAAAAAGACTATACTACTAATTCTGTTAAGTTCTTGGAAAACAACAGTTAATATTCATATGGTTAAGTCAATTTTGCATATCTATATCTGGTAATCTAAGCAACTATTTGAATATAACAATACGTAATACAACAACCATTGTTAAATTCCTACCATCTTATTTTGAAAGCCTATACTGTCATTGTTTTGGGTTTGTTGTTTGTTTTTTTTTTGCTCTGTTTTCTTTTTGTGTTTTTTTCTCTGTAAACTAAAAAAAAAAAGTAATACAGGGCAGGCTAGGAATATAGCTCAATGGCACAAGCACCTGCCTGGCAAATGCAAGGACCTGAGTCTGATTCCTGGCACCAAAAATAAGCAGTAACAGTGATCACAAGTGATAAAAGTTTTCTGTGAAACCTTGTCCTGATAGATAATGGCAAGAGGTAAGAACAAAGGAGAATAAAGGTTAAGGGGCACAGCTGGTATCATGCATGAAACAGGGATCAGAGTTTAGTCGATATACACAAAAGACAGAAAAACACAAGTTCATGTTGATTCTACATTCCACCACGTGAAAAGACTGCCACCTGCACTGCCTATATACACAGCCCCTTCTGTCCACATTTCTAATAGCATGGCAGTCATGTGATCACACTCACAAAACAGCTAGAGAAGAGGCTGTGTGCAGATTTTCCATAGTTGTAAAACAATCAGCAGGAAATGCCTGGAGAAACTGGACCTCATTGAAGACACCAGCCTAAATGTCAGAGACAGCTGGGCTCTCCTGGGTGCCCCGGGGATGCTGGATACCTCCAAGAGGGAGTCAGAACTCACACAAGTCAAGGTGGGTGCTACAATTCACCACTGGAATTTTATTGCAAGAGCCAGTTTTAATGGTCTGGAGACAGACATCCTCACATATGTGTCACACATGGCCTAGGGCAGACCCACCAGCCTGTGCCCATGTATACCATAAGCCTCCTGGGGCACAGGGGTGACCTCACCAAGAGAAGGCTATTCACACTCTGCAGGGCCCCTTTCTGCTGGGTCTCATGCTACAACTTCTCACGTAAGTATCTGTTTTGCACTTTTAAGAGTTCAATTTCTTTCAGTTCAGTCTGAAGAAGTGACAGTTTAACCTTGAGCTCAGCTAGGACTCTGGCTGTCACTTGTGCTTCCACCTCCACAGGCCTGTCCTGCATACACTGGGGCTCTGCCTGAGCTAGCTCTGCAGATACAAGGAATCAGGGAGAGCAGTCCTGCATGGCAGCCTAGACCCAGAGACTGCCAACACAACGCTGGCCTCAGGTGTGAAAACCCTGGCACTGACTCAGGACATAAATGAGCACAGTTCTCTTGTGTCCCCACTGGGGGCTCAGCCCTGCCCCGAAAACAGGCACATGCCCTCCTCTACACAGCAGTTGCATGGCCCAACCAGGCTGGTGCTTCAGGTCAGGCATAAAGTGCACCGTGCCACAGGTCCACTGGGCACTCACTCATCAAATGTGTCTGTCACTGAAGACATCATCAAAAGGACTGGGTGTGTGGGCTGGGCTTGCAATCTCCCCTCTATGGAGCAACAAACAAAGGCGCAAGCCCTTGGGCTGGAGTGAGGATGAGCCAGGTCACAAGAGTAGCATGGAGTTCAGGCAGTATCAACAACTGAAACACTATGGGGCTGCAGTGCAACAGCTCTGGTGCAGAAGACCAAGAACAAAAACGGGCATGTGCATAATGGTCCCTGGCTCACTGAGGGCCATGGTCCTCTTCCCTGGCAGCCCAGCCTGTACCTGATCCGAACATTACTAGAGAGAGACCTTGACCCTGAGCTTCTCACCTCCACTACAGGATACCCATAGAGTCTGGCACCAGGCAGCATAAGGAGGAATCATTACCACTCTTTAAGCCAAATGTCGAGTCCTCTGTGCAGACCCTGTGGGACCAGCTAAGCCTGGCAGGCTGGGCCTGGTGAAGCTAAGCAGGGTCCCAAGAATGTCTTCCCTCCAAAGGTGCATGATCCCCAATGCCTGACAATGCCTGTGCCTCAAGGTGCTCTCTCATCAGATCAGCTCCTAGCAGGAGATAGGAAAGCCAGGAGCATACACTCCTGCCAGGGCAACCCCATCAAACTCCAACCTCTATGTCAGCACTTGCTCATGTCCTTGTATGCAGGATAGCAAGCTTGGTCAGGCATATCCCAGAGCCCATGTTTGCAGCACTGGGGCAAGACAGGGAACAGTGGTAGGAAATGGGCCACACACCTTGGTTGTGCTGGTCTGAAAGTACAGCTTGGAACTTTCTCTATTCCACTACCTTAGGCCCCACAAGGCCTCTATCTGATTCATCCTCTTCATGCTGGACATAGAGAAACACAGTTTTGATCTCAGCCTACAATTTTCCTCTGGGCCTGGCTGTAAGCATACCATGCTCCCCTAGGGAAGAACCACATAGCATACATGTATTAAAATGTCTATCCCCTTGTTCATGGCTACTGCCCTGGACCTGCTGCACTGAAGAAGAATGCAGAAGCCTGTTTCAATTCACTAGACTACATGGATGATCCCCTATACACTCATAAGACCACAGGCACACCCACACTGCCTCTCCCTGTCCACACTATGCAGACTGGCTTGGAGAACCCAGGAAAACAGAGGCTATAGCCTGGTGACAAGTGCCCCAGAAAGAGTGTGGCCTGGATATGTAAATAGCAGAGAAAAAAATTAATTTATAAGCCCATAAAGAAAAGAAATAGGGAAAGAACTGATGCCAACAGACATAGGCACAGAAAGCTGAGATTTCTGGTATGCAGAAAGAAAGGACCAGGAGCAAGGCACAGGTTCCACAATGCTCAATAAGGCCAGGAAATAGGCAAAAGAAGCTCAAGGCAGAAGTCAGGTATAAACACCACTCTCTCCCAGTACACACACCAAGGGACACAGGGCAAGGAGAAGGTAGTAGGTGCCACTTGCCCTGGGGTCCACCTCTCCTCAGGTGCCAATAGGCAGGAGTCCCCAGCAGAAGGCAGAAGAGCTGTAAATAGAAAAAGTCAAAGGACCCTGGGTGGGGAAAAACAGACAGGTGCAGCCCAGACAGCCATGTAGCCAGCACAAAGCATACCTGAGATAACACACCAAATTCAAAGATAGATGGCCACAATCACCATGTCATGTAGGGGACACCACTGCTAATTCCCAGAAAAGACCCAGGCAGACAGAAGGCAGAGATGCAAAGAAGGCAGAAATTACCGAATGCTGACCGTAGTCCTGGAAGAGATGAGCAAAAGCATCCACCCTTGACACTGAAACAAGAGGATATCAAGAACACAATAAAGCAAGGCTGGAAATTAACATAAGTAAAGGATTTATCTGGAAAACTAGGAAGAGAGTGGAAGAAAATATCTCACACAGAAAACAGAACCAAAACAACTGCAAGATGAGAGAGGAAAATGTAAGATTAGGCAGGTCAAGGAACCTCACAAAAGGTCTAGAGAGACAACATAGTCTGGGAGGAAATAAGTATGACCCCTAAATCCACAGGGCAGATGTTCGTATGAGAAGAGGAGACGACACAGGAGAATCACGTGATGATACAGCCCACAAGCCAAGGAGAAAAGCCTTGGTGGAGGCGGGAAGCAAGCCAGGAAGACACTATGGACTCCTACCTTCAGCCTCTAGAACAAGAGATGGTAAGTGCAGTTAGGCTCAGCAGCCCAAACCAACCAACATCACCTCAATGACTAAAAGCAGCAGCTGTTCAGAACAAAATCAGTGTCCATGGAAGTGGAACACATGTGAACATAAGGCCCTGGGCCCAGCTGAAAGCTGTGCTGCCCAGGAGGGTGGGCCCTAGGAGCTGCTGCCATCGCACCAAATGATTGTTAAATAACCTTGGTCACACCAATTCCCAGCACACTTGTGCTGGTGGCCACTGCACTATTCACACACAACTTACCATCCCAGGAAGTTTGTTTGGACAGTGCTATTCCACCAACATTACAAATGACAGAAATCAATAGAATGGAGGCCAATTCAAGAAAGAAACATGAAGGCAAATGAAAAGAAACCCACACCTAACTCAAGGCAGGACACAGTTCACACCCTGAAGACTATCAGAGTCAAGACTGATGTAAGTATGATACAGAAGGGTGGGGCAAAAGGGGGACTTACTGACCACCATGGCAACAGGGCAAGTGGACAAGGAGCATGTGATGGCCTTCTTCTGATTGCTCTAGAGACACAGCCATGTCAGGATGGCTGTGAAATTCACAGAGAGATTTTTGAGATAGAAAAGCAAGACTACATGACAGGTCAGTGGGAAGGACAGCCATGTGGATCTCACAATGTGAAGCCCATTTCTAAATTAACCATTCTTCAGAGACCAAAAAAATCAATTACCTCTTTTTGCTTGAGCTGAAAGTCAAGTTGATCAGGGCGTTCTTTCCCTTCCCTGTCAGATGTGTCTTCTAAAAATGTACAGGAAGAACTAAGGGAGAAAATAGATTTAAAAGCTTTACACATGCCTTTTTTCCCCATGCCCACTTTTCCACAGGCCTACCACAAAGAGCACAGGCACGGGTAAGAAGTCCCCTGCCAAAAACAGGATGACCCCAGGTCTGCACTCCGCTCAGCCACATCATGGCACAGAGGAACAAGACAGTGCGGGTGCTTGCTAGCCACCACAGGGGCCACACACCAGCAACTCAGAGGAACACTTAGGGCACACTGGAACCTGGTGTCAATATCATCTTGTTTCCATAGAGCAGCTTTTAACACTAAAGTCTACTGTTTTGCACTAGTTCAAGATCATAAAATGTGACATGCCCCAACACAAAGCACCCTCATTTCAGAAACCCTGAGTAGACAATAGCTGTTTCCTTTACCTCATCACCACAGATCCCAGGTCAGTATCTTCCTTGGCCTCCTGCAGTCGCTGCTGAAACAGGCTCAGGTCCTCTTGTTTCTCAGCATCCCTCAACTTATTCTCAAAATAGACCCTCAACTGCTCCGGTACAGACTCATGTTGGGCTCTGTCTCGCTGTTGTTGCTGTGCAAACTCCTGCCAAAGTTGTTCCAGCTCCTCCAGGTGCAGCACTCCAGCCAGGGGAGGCTCTTCAATAGGATGAAGCACTCAATCATCCACAGTGAAACATTTTCAATATCAGGAGATGGAGAAGCCTGTATAGATCCTGAGAATGGCCCCAGTTCTGGCACCTGTGCATTCCCCTCCTATGGCCTGTTTGGCACTTAATAGGTCCCTAATCCAGAGCCTTCAGAGCACCTACGAGAGCGCCTTACTGCAGCATAAGTGCAGGTCCAACTGAGAATAGCAAGGAAGAAGGTGAGCACTAACTCTACAGCAGCCACAAGCTAGATCTTGATATAATCCCCATAAGGCTGGAAGTGGATTCAGGGCAGCATAGTTATCTACATGTGAATTTCAGCTATGGAAGAAAAGCTGGGCAAAGAACCCAGACATATCCCTCTGAGCTCACAACTATGTGTTTTTAGGTCAAGTGTTTTACAACTTACCACAAGGGGGAAAAAAAAAATAACACCAACTGCATAAGTCCATGTGGTTCAGAAAGTTCTGCCAGCTGCCCCACAACAATTACAGCTAATGATGTGAACAGAGTACGCCACTGCCCCAGAGGTTCCAGATCAAAGTTTCCTGTCTGGGTCCTAAGGTGTGTGAAGAGTTGGGGTGCAATAGACCAGAGCAGTAGGAGTAGCTCTACCTCTCATCCATCAGTCCTTCTCTCCTACAGCCTGCAGTCATGACAGGGAAACTCCAAGGAAAGACCAGCACACCTGCATACCACATGTGGACACGGACAGAGACTGGGGCTGAGACAAGGTCAAACTGGGGCTGGATATATGGCTCAGAGGTTCAGCACCTGCTATGTATCACAAAGCCTTGGGTTTCATCCCTAGCACTACAAAAACAAAAGAAAACAAACAAAACCCCACACAGCCTTAGCTTCAGATTATCTGAATTCCTCACACATAATCCTTACCATGAAGTTCGTCTCTTTTGGTTCTCGCAAACTCAAGCTGGGACCACAGATGCTTTATTTCTTCTTGTGACTGAGCCTTAAGATCTTCATAGGATGCTTGAAGATTCTCTAACTATGGAAAAGGAAAGCATCACATGAAGACCCCAAGAGCTTACTCCCAAGCCAGTGCTGGGTGTTCTGTGCAGTTATCTATGTTACCTGTCAACACCTCAGGGCCATCTACAAGTACAAGTCAGCTTGCATGGAGTCAAAGAACAAATCTCAAACCAGCAGCTCAGAAATCAGAATAGTAGCAATCAGAACAAAGCAATGACCACAGCTGACCCAACCAAGGCCAAGGTTAGAGTTCCTGCTCCTTAGCATGCACTTGTGGGCTCAGCTTCCCAGGAGGCTGTGGAGGGAAGACTGTTTAATTCCAGGAGTTTCAAGTCAGCCTGGGCAACACAGCAAGGCCCAGTCTCAAAACAATGTAGCCAAATGTGGTGGTACACAGCTGTAATCCCACATGCAGGAAACAGAGGCAGGATTATCTTGAGTTCCAGATCAGTGTGGGCCACATATTGAGTTCAAAGACAGCCTGAACTATCTACTATAGTGAGACTCTGTCTCAAAAAAAAAAACAAATTGCAGGGCCAGGGATTTAGCGCAGTGGCATAAGCGTCTGCCTGGTCATGAGTTCAATCCTCAATACAAAGAAAAAAAGTTTTTTTTTCACTGGGCACAGTAGTGCACGACTATAATCTCAGCGCTTGGGAGGCTGAGGCAGCAGGATCAAGGCCAGCCTGGGCTACAAAGTGAGTACAAGGATACCTAACTGCATAGTGAAACCCTGTCTCAGAAAGACAAAAAAAAAAAAAAAAAAAAAAAAAACTGCGACAAAACAAGCAAAAAACAATAACTTCTGGGCTTGCTTGTTTGTAGTAAATGTCAGCATGGTCCATGCTTGGAGAGCAGCACAATCACCTGCTGGCTGTCACACTGCCACCACAGCACTGGTCCCACATGTGCTACCTGTGAAAAGTCACGGAGACAAGGTACTGTTGTGCTTAGGGATTGTTTGGGGACACTAATGCAGGGAAGTGCCAGGATTAGCCTGCAGCAGTCATCACTTGCAAAAGGAGGCTCTTACTAAAGAAGCAGATTGCCTCTGACATACTGATACAAAGCATGCTAAAAGCCCACACACCCACATGGCATAGGCTGGAGGGCTGGCCCCACTGAGGAACTGCTTCTCACAAGTCAGGGATGCTGCTGCCATCAACACTGGCCAAGGAAGATCTCTGGGATGGACTTCAGTGTCTCCATATAGCACCACTCATGCCCAAGCCCTCCAGGATCTTCCCCCAAGTAGCAACCACAGTGGCTATGTCTAATGTGTCATCAACATGATGACTTGTCAACATACAATGAAAGGAGTAAAAGGTCATTGTTTTAGAAAGTGTTATCTGATTGTATAGGGCTATATTTTCACTTTTCCCTTTAGGAACTTGGGTTTTCTCTTCCACAACTCCCTGTACAGATCCATTTCTGTCACCAGCAAGAATGTGCCCTTCTGAAAGTCCATGAGGAAGGCTCCAGTGCAGGGCCACAGACGGAGCCAAGACGGCCAGACTGAAGGGCAAGCCTCTCAGTCCATCTCCTGGAGAGTCATCCTGCAGGAACACAGCTCTCTGGGCTCCAGTCTGCAGCACAGATGGCACCAGGCCTGAGGTTGAAGCATACTCCTGGAAGGCATCAGGACCAGATAGTACGCAGCAGCCCTATTCCTCCTTCACTGCACAAGCCTGGCAAGTTCTGAGAAGAGACCAGGGGAAGTGAGTGCCCCGACCTGGGACTCATACTGCATCTTCTCAGGTCTATAAATCTCTGCATATTACTACTAGCTTCAGTTTCTATGGTATTTTCTTTTAATTCTTAAAAGGATTGCTTGATACTTAGATTTAGTAATAAAAGCAATTTGGAGTTCTGAATAGGATCTGGCCGCATCTCCCACATTTGATATATAGTATTTCACTAGAAAAAGGCATCAGAGCAGGAGAAATTGTTAACTTTTTTTAGTTGTTCACTGGATTATAGTCAAAAGAACGTGCCTCTATACTTACAGTGTTTGGAATTTTTGTAAACACTCGCAGGAATACTTGTAAAGAACATGTACTTTCTGAGTATAAGAGAGCGTAATTAGTACAGGACTCTCACAGACTCTCTCCTTTCACAGGGTTTTTTGATTTTTTTTTTAACCAAATATTAGGAATTCAAATATAGTACTTCAGTTTAGCAAACAACAGAATATAAAGTGGTCCAGTTCCATTCCAGGGGAACATGGCAGATAGATAACAGCAGTTACGGAGGCTCTCTGAGATAGCCAGCTTAGATTCCAGGAATGGTGCAGTGTGGGGGAATCCTAAGCAGGGGGAGATATACCCTGCTGACCCAGGAATGAACTAAGCTGAGAGAAACCAACTGGAAATCCAATCCCAGTGCTAAACCAGAACAGATAAAGTCTCAGTGCCGAAGATGGAACCTGTGCCTCTGGAAACCGTGGCTTGAATATCCTGCTGCTGCTGCTGCAACATCTGAATCGGCACAGCAGGGATAGAGACACAAAAGCTCTGAGAGCAGGAAATAGCAAACCAAATTGAGAGCAGAGCTGGTGGGGAGCCCTGCATCGATCTGTGGTGAGTGAGAGGAACATAGATAAGGAAGCTCCAACAAAGGACATTCTGGGACCTAGCAGACTAGCCGGAACAGGATGCTGCAGTGACTTCAGTCACATATTCCCCTCTCAAGCGTTGGTGGAGAGCGCTTGACCTGGGTGATGCCACAGACTAAGACCCAGTAGGCTACCCCAAACCAGGTTCCTGCGCCTGGCAGTGCACCCTAATGCAGTGAAAGCTTCAGCAGGTTGACTGACCTGGAGGGGTGGGCCCCGCACCAGCGGCCCAGGTCCATGTCTCCCTAGTACACTGCAGTGGGTGGGAATACCTAGCTGGTGCAATTCAAACAAACTGTAACCTACAAAGAAAGAAACTGGGCCTCCTATATATGCTTGTATAGCAGGAACAAAAAGTATGGTAAGAGGGAGCAACAAGAAAGGGTCCTCAGTCCCCAATCCTAAGAACACTGATCCAGGAAAGGTAAATGCAAAGGAGAATGAGGACAGAAAACATGCAATATCAGGCACAGCACCAAAAGACATAAGCAATATCTCCGGGACCTCATAGACGAGTTCAAAAGTGAAGTATTTAACCAAGTAAAGCAAGATATAAGTAGAATAGTTTAAGAAATACTAAGCACCTCCCAAGAAAAAACAGATGGTGGAATGAAAGAACAGAAAAAATGGGGAGAATTGTTTGATGGAGGAAATAGAGAAAACATAGAATACATGAAGCAGGATCAAAGAGATTACCAGGAAACTAAAAACTCTATTGAAAGCTGGCATAACAGCTTGAAAGAAACTAAGGATAGATTATCTGAACTGGAGGACAGATTTGTAATGTGGGAGCATGAAAGGGAAAACTTCTTAAAAATAACAAGGAAACAAGCAGTAACAATACAAAGGATAGAAGAACATAGAACTTAAGAATAAAGAATGTGGGGCTGGGGATTTAGCTCAGCGGCATAAGCACCTGCCTTGCAAGCAGACAGTCGTGAGTTCGATCCCTGGTACCAATAAAAACGAAAAAGACCAAAAAAGACCAAAAAAAAAAAAAGAATAAAGAATGTGAGAGAAGAAGCAGGGATACAAAGAAAGGAACTGCAAAGGCTATTCACAGAAATAATCAAGGAGAACTTCCCTAATACGGGAAAAGGTAAAGATACTCAGATCTATGAGGCATACAGGACCCCAGCCACCTACAACCCAAACAGAACTACACCCAGGCATATAATAATCAAAATTCCAGAAATCCAATGTAAGAACAGAATATTAAAAGCTGTCAGAGAGGGGGCTGGGGATTTAGCTCAGCAACATAAGCCCCTGCCTTGCAAGCAGGCGGTCGTGAGTTCGATCCCCGGTACCGATAAAAAGAAAAAAAAAAAAAGTGTAAAAAAAAGCTGTCAGAGACGAGAAACAGATCACTTACAAGGGAACACCCATCAGAATTACAGCAGACTTCTCGGCACAAACCATCAAATCACAAAGACCCTGGGGCAAAATAATTCAAGCTTTGAAAGACAATAACCTCCAGCCAAGCTTAATATATCCTGCACTACTGTCCCTAGAAATTAAGGGAGAAACAAGGTGCTTCCAGGATAAAGAGGAACGAGGGAATTTGCAACCACCAATTCAACTCTACAGAGAATACTGCAGGACATTCTAAAAGAGAAAAATACCAAGATTCCAGAAACAGTAGCAGAGAGGCCACCATGAATGGAGCAGAAAGCGAAAAGAAGAAGACAAACTGACAACTAATGACAGAAAAAGAGCGCAACAGAAATGAGGCAGAGAAGGTTGGATGGTAGGAACAGTTATTTTGGAGAAAACAAGACATCATAATAGCTAATGCTGATTTAATATCATCTTGTTTTGAAATCCCGTCAAGCTTTTGGTCTCCTGTCTCCAATGGTCTTAACATGTTGTATCTTACTGGGTTTTATTATATATGATAATATAAACAAAAACTTTTATAGACAGAGATAATACAGAAACCATTGTTCATTTTCTGTTAGTTGGTTCTAAATACTCTGTAATACTGTCATTCTCTTGAATGGTTTTATATTGTCTTGATATGTTTGATGCTATAGTATACGAAGTTATACTCAAAGATTTCAGGGAAAGAGACACTATGGTAACTACTTTTATGTCGGGATATCTTGTGGTGAAACACTATTTTGCTTAAATGGTTATGTTCTAACCTGTGCTGTTTTGTTGTTATGTCCTCTTTTATCTCAATCTCCTTTTTCATTATTTATTTATTTTTAATTAAAGAAAAAATAAATAAAAAATAGCAGGATATATTATAGTAACCCACTTTGATTTCCTATTAACTTGATTTGAAATCCTGTATTGCTCTCACCATCTTGTTTTGGCTGATTTTACTCTATTCTGTTTTGCTTGATAGTACCAAGTTTGAGAGTACAGGCAACAACTGTAAAAACAGTAAGATTCCCTATGATGCCCATTCTGGTTTGACTATTATCTTCTTTTGAAGTCCTGTAATGTCTCCAATGTTTTGGTTTTACTGGTTTTGTTCTTTACTGTTTTGTTCAATTTTATTACAACTGATGATACAGGCAATTCTTTTTAAGATAGCAAGAGGCATTATGGTAACCATTGTTGATCACCTTGTATTCTGTTTTTACATTATGTACTATGTCCATCGTTTTGATTTGACTGACTCTGTTTTGTTATGTTACATTTGGTTTTATTCACTTCAAAAAAAAAAAAGTAGTAAGAACAGTGGGAATAATAAAACCCAAAATGTGTAATTGTCATTGTAAAAAACAGAGGAAAAGAAAGTACTCTAAAGGATATAACTGCATGTATATTTAAGCATATAAGATAAATACCCATATCACTGAGTTTTTGTTGGGATCATTGAACAGAACTGTTTGCAGTCTCACTGTTTGAATGTCCACTTTATATGCTTTAATTTTGTAATCTGAACAACTATTTCTAAGATGACAATATGTAATCTATTAACTAGTGATTTCCTACTTTTCTTTGAAATTCTGTATTACTTGTACTCTTTTTCTGTTTTTTTTTTCTTTTTCTCCTTAAAAAAATTTTTTTAAAAATTTGAAAAGAAAAAAAAAAGTGGTCCAGTTCCAAAAGCTCTTAAAACTTCTCTAATACTTAAAAATAACTAAGTTCAGCTGGGCATAGTGGCCCACACCTATAATCCCAGTGCTGTTGAAAAGCTGAGACAAGGAGGATCACAAGTTCAAGTCTAGCTGAGCAACACAGCCAGATCCTGTCTCAAAATAAGAGGTGAGGATATAGCTCAGTGCGAAGACCCTGGTTCAGTCCTAGCACTGAAATAAATATATAAATAAATACGCTCATGCTTACCTCCAGCTGCTTTTCTTTTTCCTTTTCTCTGAACTTCAACTCCAGGTTTTCTAAATACTGGCAGTGCTCCAATTGTAGATCCTCACGCACCTTCCTAACAGCTGCCTGGTGTTCAGCCTCCAGGCTCTTCAGGGACACTGGAAAGCAGTGCAGTTCCACCTGCATTACAACACATAACACTTCCTCCCAAGCAGCAACACTGGACAGCACATCACCATGTGGTGGTCATAGTACCCTGGAGGGGGACTGCTTGCTCTGCTCCATGTGGGGTGTCACTGCATATTGATGGCACATCACACCACAAGCAGGGCCAGAACAGCAAAGCTGAGCCATAGCCAGTGGCATACGTCCAGATCTTATCTCAGCAAAACTCTCCTCTCACCCAGAGAATAGACAAAGACATTGCAGCAACATGCAGACAGCACCACCTGACCACAAGGGTCACTACAGGACAGCACTAAATAATCAAAAGCAAGCAATCCCATGCCACTGTTTCAGGAGTGATTCAGTAACTAAACATGTAAAAGACATCTCTGAAACAAAAGTCAGGAAGGTTCAGGGATTCTGAAAGGCCTTCAGCCCACAAGGAACCCCAAGCCTGTCTCTGATAGTTTCTCCAGCACCTAGTTACCTAGGTGGAAAAGCACAGGGGGAGCTGTAAGGTCTCTGTTCTAGAATGACAGATATGCACAGCCCCTTCCACACCCACTTCAGTCAAAACAGATGCTCACCTTCGGCCTGAGTTTTGCCTTGAAAAACCTTTTCCAGCTCAGCTCTCTGTTCTGCCAATTCTTTTTGAAACTGGTTTTGCAAATTCTCCATTTCTGACTGGTGTCTTGCAGATAGTTCTTTGCGGAGATTTTCTAAGCATAACTCTCTTTCAGATTCCCAGTCTTGCTTTAGGGTCTAATTTAAGAGAAAAAGAGTATGAGCAATAGTTGGTTATCTATTACAAGGAAATTTTATTATTATTATTTTTTTTTTTTTTATGGGTACCAGGTATTGAACTCACGACTGCCTGCTTGCAAGGCAGGCGCTTATGCCGCTGAGCTAAATCCCCAGGCCCTAAAAGTAAATTTTAATTTCACTGTCAAGACCAAGAGTGAGCAGTTACAGTGCCAGACTGAACTATACCTTGGGAAAAGGACTCTTGATGGCCAGCCAGTCCCTCCACCAACTGTTGAAAATAAAACACAGAAGCATCCACAAGTCAAACAGCCAAAGAGAAGAGAAGGCCACCAATGTTGGAATTCAAAGTACATGTCACAGCCACTCTCAAAGGCTCACAAAGCAAAGTATCTACAAGACCCAGAGTTTGATGGCGACTTTGCCAACATCTGCCCAAGGCCTGAGTTCTGTTCCATGTGTGCTGGGAAACAAACTCTCCATTCTCCAGGTCACAAAAGCAAGATACAGATGCAAGAACCCCAGCTCCAGACTGACCACCACATTTGCCCAATGTGTGAAAGTAGCCAGAACACTTGACTCAGAAGGAGCCTTCACTAATTGAAGGTGAGAGCCATCCACCCCACCACACAATCACTCCAGATGTCCAAGGATACACACACAACCCCAACACCCAGGCCACATCCATCTTCCTCTACTGAATACAATTCATGAGGATGAGAAGCATCCAGAACATAACATGCAGCACCTTCACATTCTAAAAACCAATAGGAAACAAGTCTACCGGCAAACACAGTCTTGCCAAGGAGAAAAACTCACTTTCTACCAATATGTCCTAATAACTTCCATCAGAATTTGCTTGTGACAAGCTGAGGACAGTTCAGTGGGGCATGGTGACAAAGGAAAATAATATATTTATAAAACTGCAATTCTAATTGATTGAACATACCTCTATCATCTGAGCATTTTTCTCCACTTCTGATCGTAACTTCTCCTTCAACTCAGCTGAAAAACAAATATAACAAGCCATTCAGACCACTAAGCCTCAACCTTCCCCATGTCTTCATCACCCTGGAAACAAGCTGGCTTTGCCATCAGCTGGCTTCTCTGTGGATACTTGCCAGTGATAGTATGACAGCAAGATATCTAGTTTAAGTAACAAACTATATTCTGGCCAAAACAATACACTAGGGGGAAAAAAAAAAAAGACACTGAGATTCACATAGGATCTCTTAGGAAAACAGAAGGTGGCCCCCATCACTGAAATGTTGAAACCTACATAAAACTTCTGGCATAAGAACCATGGGCAAATCAGCACAGGCATCCTGGTCCACGACCAGGCAAGGTGCTGGGATTTGAGATGCAGGAGGCCACTTGGGGCCCCACAGCTCCTGCCTGAGAAACAAAAAGCCCAAGAAAGAGGTACTCGTAAAACCTCACCACCATTGACATACCAGGGGCCAGAGGCAGTGCCAAGAAGGGCAGGGCTGGAGAAGTGGGTTCTGGAGTAGGATTATACTCTATCACGTGAACATAAGAGAAGGGTGTACACCTAGAGAGCTCGGTGATGAGGCCTCCAGAAGCAGGAGGAACAGGGCTGAGGAGTTGCTATAGATAAAATGTTACCACAAAGGAGCCAAAGAGCCAAGAACCCAGCTTCTAAGGGCTACAAGCCACTGGAAGGCCACTAACAGTCCAGTCTCAGCCATGGCAGAATGGGCCAAAGTGGGGCAGACTCAGCTGACAAAAGAGATGCATGTAAAAGTAACAACTAAAAAAAAAAAAAAAAAAATTGCATGAAAAAAACCACTAAAACAAAACATAAAAGTATGTATTAAGTATAAATAGTCAGTTTAGGCCAAGAATACCAACCTTAAAAAGCACTCAGAATGGCAGCAGGTAGCCCCCACAATAGAAAAGGCACTACCCACCATGCACAGAACCACGTGGGTCTAGTCTGACAAAATCTATAGACAAGTAGATTCTATCAAGATGCTGGTGAGGGGCCGGGAGTTTAGCTCAGTGGCATAAGTGCCTGCTTGGCAAATGCGAAGTTGTGAGTTCAATCCCCAGTACCAAAAAAAAAAAAAAAAAAAAAAAAAAAAAAAAAAGATGCTGGTGGAAAAAGGCCAGCAAATCTTCCAGATTAGCACAAATCCACCAGAGACTGAAATGGAGTAAGGGGTGGCAGAGTCAGGGTCTGGGCATGGACCTAGACCCAACCACACCCTGGAGGACCCAGTTGTGCTTCCTTGTGTGCATGAAAGGGCCTGCGCCCTGATGCATGTCAGAAGCCAGCCCACACAGGAGGGCTGGGGCTGGAGCTGGCATCACAGACTCCCAAGGTGCAGGAATAGACCATGCTAAACAAAGGGAGGAAAATGAGCAGGCCAGCTCTCAAAGAGGTTTCTGTGAGGTCCAACTACAGCCAGAATGTGCACTGGCTCAGCCATACCCACACATGTGATACTGTCTCCCACCCAGGCCCCATACTGTACCAATCTCCTGCCCATAGCAGTGTGCCATGGCTTCCTTCTCACGGGTATGCTGCTCCTGGACCAACTCCAGCTCACACTGCTGCCTACTCTGCAGAAGAGCCAGCTCCTGTGCACGTCGGCCATTAAGCATCTCTCGAAGCTCAGTCAGTGCTGTCTCCTTCTCCTTCTGCAGATTGGCTTGTGTCAGCTCCAGCTGTACAGTGTGCATGTTGCTGAGGCTCAAGCGCAGGGCTTCTAACTCAAGGCTGTGAGTTGCCTGCAGGCAGAGAAGCATTGCTGACACTAGGACAGTGAGGTGACACCGAGAAGCATAAATGGGAAACAGACAAGGAGGAAAAGCCTGTGACCCAAGAGGACACCACCTGGCATCTATGCTACCATATTCCCATGCTGCATCTCCCACCAACATCCACCCTTATACCCTGGCAGGCACCAGACTCCCATCCCCAGACATCCACTTGTCCTTCCTACCTGTCCCAGGGAGAATTTCACATACTAAACATACAAAACAAACACAGGAAGCTGGAGCAGCCCCATCCACTGGAGCCCTCACAGCAATTGAGACCCAGTGCACATAGGCAAGGATGGCAAAGTGCATGCCACGAGTGGGTAAACACTAAGAGCCAAGGGAGGGCCATCCAGTTACCTGGGGCTGCTGCTGCCAGCCAGCCTTGTCCTCAGGTGTATTCCCTGGCTCACAGTCTTGATCTTGTTCCTGGAGAAGGAAAGCAACATGGCCTAAAGAGTTTACAGGGACAAATGATCACTAGGACAACTGTGATACCTCAGAGCGTGGAAAACCTATGTCTTCAAAGACACTGCACAGAAGTTCACAGTAATGCCATCAACAACTGCTAAAAGAAGGGAAACAACTCCAATGATGCATAAATACACGAACAAAATATAGTATCCAGTCATTCCCTAGCATTCTCAGAGGACGGGTTCCAGGACCGCCAAGGATTTGCCCTGGCTACTCAAACCCCTTACATGACAGCGTATTATTTTTAGATAATCTATGCACAGACATCAACAGACTTTAAATCATCTCCAGGTTGCAGAGCTGTTACTCTATGTTGTCTAAGGAACTGATGGTGAACTTTTTAGAGCTTTCAGTAATAACACGCCACACATATGCTATAGGTTTACCACTCCTAGTCTAGGGAATGATAAAAATTTGTCTACCCATGTTCAGACTCAGTGACTCAAACTAAGTTTAATTTCCTGCCCAAACTAGGGAAACTCTGTTGAGGACAGAAGGCTTGATATGGTCATCGAAACTCAAAAGACACTCTGAGGTACCCAACAAAAAGACTCGCATGCAGGGAATTAGTCTGAGGGCAAGTGACTCAAGTAGCGTAAGAAAACTAAGATCCCCTCAAACGTTTGTGCACCCCATCATTCTCTGCCTCAGTAAATAGCACTCCCAAACCAGGTCAGGCCCCATCCTGTGTCTCTCCAGTCCCACTGCACAGCTGACTGGCCCCCGCATGGTTCACAACCAACCGTGAGGCACACAGTGCTGCAGCTTCCCACGGTAAATCTCCACAGGCAGTGGATCCAACAACTCACCCAGCTGCCTCCTCAGTCTGACTTCTCTAGGGGCCCTTCCTCCAAACCCTTCCTCCAGCCCAGCAGAGGCTATACACCACTGTAAAGACCTTGCTGCTGTGGCTCCCACCAGGCACCACCTGCATATTGGGCGTCTCATGGCCCAGTACCTACCTACTCAACCACCCACTTGCCTACCCACCACGTGCACAAGGTATTGATATCACTCAAGAAAACGTGCACATAGGCACTTCTTATCTATGAGGACAACATCTGGAAACAGCTGTTTCCGCAGCAAAGGTAACAGGAAGTCCAGACATGTGTGCAGATGCAATGTTCAAGCCTCTAGAACAGCTAGAGCTAACCCTAACCTATTGAAAAGGACCTGCAATCTTCTGGAGCAGCTCTTCATACTCCAAGCAGGAGCTTTCAGCCATAGGAGCCAGAGGCAGACAGACATCGGTGCTCTCACAAACTCCTGAACCAGAATTTACAGAGAAGATAAGAAATGAAATCTCTGAGCTTGGTGTGGTGTCGAAATTAATGAGAGCTTATCTCAAAGGAAAAAAAAAAATTTAAAGGCTGGGGATATAGCATCCCTGGCTTCAATGCCCAAAACTGCAAAAAAAAAAAAAAAAAAGAAAAGAAAAAGAAAGAAAGAAAATGAAAACTCTGAACAAGCCAGGCCCCCAGAGAGGCAGTGAGATGGAGGAGAGCTTATCTAGTTCCAAGGGGGCAGGGCTGGTGAGTCAGATCAGGGTCATCTCTTTTGACAAACTGAAACTGAAGCTTGCCACTGTCCACAGACCACAAACTTCAGGACACAGGGGTCTCAACGGAAGAACTCAAAACAGATCTAAATAAAGGGATATTTCTGGAACACCCATCAGATTCAAACATAGCACCCAGACGAAGAGCTCCTGAACTAAAACCAGTTGTACACACCATGAACCACTCCAACAGTGACACCTACAAAATAGGAAATATCCAAAACTCCACAAACAGGTCCCACATAGGACAGAGCTCAAGTAATCAAAGTGAGTCACATTCATCCAAAGAAGGGTCCTGCTACAGGAAATACAGAAGGTGTTCATTAACCAAAAGGAATACATTTCAATTAAAGTGAATGAACCAACTATCCCTCTAAATGCCAGGCCAAAGTGAACATTAATTAACTCATTTAAAATGAGCACAGTTCTGCTCAAAACTAAAAAAGCTCAAAAATATCTTCATGAAACAAGAAATTATACAGAATTATATGAACAAATTTTTAAAAGTTCCAAGTAAAATGTCTTAGATGAAATAAAAGCAGACCAGAAAAAAATTAAGCTGGGTACAGTGACACACACCTGTAGTTCTAGCTACTCAAGAGGCTGAGGCAGTTGGTTTTCCTGACCCTGTATGTTCAAGATCAATCTGGGCAATATAGTGAGACTCCCCATTAAAAAGAAAAGTAGAAGAAAAAATAATTCAATGGATAGACTTAATAGTAAACTATAGGGGCTGGGGATTTAGCTCAATAGCATAAGTGCCTACATAAGCATGAGGTCCTGAGTTCAATCTCTGATACCAAAAAAAAAAGTAAACTACATATAAATGAACATAGGAACATGTAAACTGACCCAGATAATACCATCTAGCATGCATTGGAGAGCAAAAAGAACTACAGAAATAGAATGGGACGGGTGCATTCATGAGGAGGTCCAGAAAATACCAGTAGCCTCAGGAGCAGTGAGTGAGAGGGGCAGACCTATATGGGCAGTGCCAGCTCCAGGAGTTCTACAAGCCAACAGTCAAGAAAAGCCCATTCACAGACCCTAGAAACCCATAGCCCAGGAGGGGAACAGGATCACAAAGAGCCACAGCAGACACAGAAAAGCAACCACTCATCCAGAGCATCCAAAAGAGAAGTCTTCAAGAGTGGCAAAGGAACAACAGAAGACACTGAACATGAGGAAACCCCAGCATGCAACACACCTGCCAGACTATCTTTCCAAGGATGGAAGGTGGTGACACCTATAGTTCCCAGCTATCCAAGAGGCTGAGACAGAAGAATCATTTGGATCACCAGTTTGAAGCCAGCCTGGACAACATAGTAAGACAGTGTCTCAAAAAGAAAAAAAAAAAAAAAAAGAAGAAAAGCAAATTGGGAATATTCGTCCAAAGACGGGTCCTACTACAGGAAATACAAAGGCTGTTCTTCAGCCAAAAGGATAGTGAACCAGATGGAAAGTCTAAAAAGTTCTCATAAGTAAGCCACCATGAACCCTGAGGGATAAACTGCTGGTTTAGGGCCTAAAACCAAAATGCACACATATGTTCTTCAACATTCACATACATGTGGACCACAAAGAAGTAAATACACATGTATGCTTTACACCTACCTCCTTGCTCAGCCCATGGATACAACTTAGAAGATGCAACACAGAGCCCAGAACTGGCTTCCAGCATCAGTCTCCAACAGACAAAATAAGAGTTCCTAGGAGAAATGGCTAAGCCAGATGAACGTGGAGCAGCTGCAGGGCCACACCAGGCATGCTTATAAAAAGAAGGACTGGAGGGGCTGGGGATTTAGCTCAGCAGCATAAGCACCTGCCTTTGCAAGCGTGTGGTCATGAGTTCCATCCTTGGTACTGGTAAAAATACAAAAAAAAAAAAAAAAGGAGGACTGGGAACATCAAAGGGATACTACCAACAACCAGAAAGAGCTCTCAACGGCCAGAGCAAAATAAATTATGTAGTCTGGGGTTACAATCTCAAACATAACACAAACAGAAATAAAACATACTGACATAAGTATATGACCAAATAAATGAATCAATGATGAGAAGGAACAAATCTTCCTTCAACAACCCTCACGGAGCATATCTGTAGACATTCTTCTCTCCAAAAGGCAGAGGGCACTTTCCATTCCTAGGATATGGCCTGGGCTTAATGACTTGCTTTTCAGGCAGAATGTAGAAAGAGAAAAAACTGCATTTTCACCAGAGGAAGTGAGTAGACATTACTGATACTACACAATGAAAAGGGAGCATTCTCAGAAATTTCTAATGTGGGTCCCACAAAGAGAAAATAGTTAATAGACCAGTGTTCCTCAAATCTAACAAAGTCATCAATAACATGAAATCCAGGAGGCTCAGAAGAGAAAATAACTGAATGCAATGGGCTATATCCTGGACCAAAAAACAATACTAGCAAATCCAGATGAAGTCTATATTTTCTTTACAGTAAAACAGAGCCAAGTCAGTATCTCCCCACCACTACCACCACCACCACCCACCCCATTCAAGGGACTGAACACAAGACCTTCACACTGAGCTACATCCCAGCCCCTTGCCTTTTAAATTTGTGTTTTGAGACAAGATCTTTGTAAATTGCCCAACCCAAGATCAAACATGTGATCCTTCTGCTTAGCTTCCCAGAGTGCTAGAATTACAGGTCTGTGCCACCACACCTTGGTTACCATCTTGAGTTCAATCCCCAGTACCAATAAAAATGAAAAAGACAAAAAAAAAAAAAAAACCAAAGTCCAATAGAGAAGAACCTCAAATTCAAGGTGAGCCTAGACTACATACTAAGACCTATTTCAAATAAATATAACAGGTATGGTGATGCATTCCCATTCAAGCCCACACAGAAGGCTTGAAACAGGAAGATCTTGGTAGTTTTGAGGCCAGCCTGGAGTGCATAATTTATTCAAGTCCAGCCTGAACTACATAGTGAGACCCTGTCTCAAAAAAAAAAAGCAAAACAAAAAGCCCTTTAAATAAGTAACTATCCATACTGAATCCATACTAACAAACATAAGCAAATTGGGAGAAGTAACTGCTCCTCCTTTCAAAACAAGTGACACAGGCAGGAGTGATGGACATAAACGCTCATCACTTGGCCAACACTACTGTAATAATTATTCAAGAGAAAACAATTTAATGGAAGTCAATGATAATGGAAGGAAGTATAAGCCAGGCATGATGTACATGTCTATAATTCCAGCATTTGGGAGGCTAAGACAGGAGGACCACTGCAGTTTAAGGCCAGCCTGGAGTACAAAGTAAATTCAAGGACAGCTTGAACTACAGGGTGAGACTTTGTCTCAAAAAAAAAAAAAAAAAAAACAGAAACAGATATCTGCAGTGTCTACATATCTCTACACAACACAGTTAACTATGAAAGAAAAACAACATGCTCTCTCAGTAGAAAACACACTTATAATTTTAACTAAGTGATCAAGTTAGTATCACTAGTGACAAATGCTGCCAAGCAGACTCCACATGCCCTCATGAGGCACGCTAATGGGAAATGCCATCACTTCTACACGTAATGAACCTAAATTTGATCATGTGGACCCACTAGACAGATCAACTGATATTTTGCAGGTATTCTACAAAATAATTGGATAGTCCTCTTCAAAAGGGTCACAGGCAGGCTGAGACTGCCCCAAGCCAGAGGAGACCTAGAAACATAACCATAGAATGCAACACAGAGCCCTGGACTAAAAGATCACTAGTGTAAAAACAGGTAGACTTAAAGCATTGTTTCAATGTTAAATGAACCTGATTTTGTTAACTATACTAACACCATATAAGATATTAACATTTCAAGAAACTAAGTAAAAATGTATCCTGAAACTCCAAGTTTTTACAAATTTTTGATGTAAGTTTAACATCACTTCAAAATGGGTAACTAAAAATTAAAAGATTTTTTAATTACGCACGACAAGCTTTTTGCCCTCAAAGAGGCTAGGCAAAAAGCGTAAGGAGTCACCAGCAGCAAGCCCTCTCAACACATTTTTTACTCTCAGCCAGCTGACAAGACCATGGAAAAGAGCTGCCCTACCTTGGGAGACACTGAGAAAGGATAATGATGAATAGCAACTGACAACCAATGCCCTATCCACATGACAAGAAGTGCACAATGACATGGGTGCAGGCAAGCAAAGGCATGGTCACCAGAGAGTTCCAGACACTCAGGATACAAAGGACACCATGGCAAGGTCTTGTATCACTCAAAAGAAGCAAAATTCCAACTTTGTGGGTAGTTTATAAACTTTATATACTGGCAGTAGTAACATCTTTTCCAATAAGACAAGCCTGACATATGATTTTAAGCCAAATTCTGTCTTCCAAATTTTTTTCCAATTTCAGGAAAATTTAGTTTACCAGTTCATACTAGCTAACACCTAAACCTGCACTGGAGCTGCACATAGCCGGCACACTTGGAACTCGAGGCTCTCACTGACAACCCACATGAAAAGTCTCAAACCATCCATCAGCAGGTCTGGAGGCCCCAGGAAGGCCAGGAGAGCCACACCCTCAGCACTCTCAACACCCACAGACCCGCTATAGGGTAAATCCCACACAGCTCACAGGCCTTGGGCAGTGCAGGGCCAGCTCTACCACATCTTTTTTGTCATACCTCTGCCCCTCCCCCCTTCAGAAAGCAGGCAACAGACAAAAAATGACAAACAAATGCATCAGAAGGTAGATGAAAAGGTATTAGGTTTAAATGTCCAACATCTGGCAAAGAACTGATTCAGCCACTAGGAACTCACACTTATAAAGCTTCTATATCAAAATGACACCTGCCTATAAAGCAATCAATGCAAAATTTCCTATAAGATAAAGCATTTATTACACATAAGACTATAAAATATGTACTTAGCTTTTGTAAATTAAAATAGAACTCTCTTTTCCCACTTTTGAGAGGCAAAAAACAGATTAAAACTACTTTTAATAAATTCCTCTAGCAACAACTGGAAGACAAGCAAAATGTTAAAACATGATTCTGGGCAAATCTACCTGAGTTGCAAATGCCCCTCCGGGCCAGTCTGGGCTGCTGCTGCTGCATGCTGTGCCTCTACAAATGTCGCCTCCTTCTAGGAGCCCTCCCTCCTGGGTGACTACCGGACTCGGACTCTCCTCCTGGACAGACGCATGGACAGCCAGGCCCTTCCTCTTCGCCGTCTTTTTCTTCGAATGCGCACAGTCACCTTTTGTTTTTCTCTGTCGGAAGTGAGCAAGCTGCGCAAAAATGTGGAGAAGTAGTAAAGACAGAGGTAAATGAGAAAAAAGTAGCAAAACCACAAAGTCAAAAGACTTGTGGAGAACATGAGGCTTAGGTTCACTTGCTCGACTAGCCACACCTGGCCAAGAGACCACTTTCCCTAAAAGCTGCTTTCATGGACAACTAGGACACCAGCAGTAAATTTGAGACTACATCCCTAGTCTACTGGTAAGAACTGTAAACTATGCCTAGATACAAACAAAAGAAAACTAATCAGCTAATTGACAAAGTAGCTTTTGTAGCCCTTGGCAGTTTACACAACAATAAATTTTTTTAAACTGTCTTTAAAATGCTGAGGGCTTAATCATACACAGAGTTTAAAATTATATATAAAAGAGCTAAATTGTTCCCTTCCTATCCCCATTTTCCCCTAATCAAGGAAATACACCACCCAGTCAAAACTTCCTAGCCATAGATTCTGAGACAAGGAACAGAAATAGCGAAAAATTAATTAAGCCAGGTCAATCTAACATCTTCCTTTATGGAATTAGATGTTCTATTTTTCATGACACAGCTCAACAAAGCACCAGGGACCTCCACAGAATGTCGCCCATTAGAAAGCACAACCCAGCTCTGTTCAGTCCCTCAAATCAAGGTTTTTCAACCACACTCATGCACCATCGCCCACTAAAACCTTATTCAAAAACTATAAGCTCAAACACCAGCTTTTCACAGAGGAGGTCCATTCCTTGAGATGAAAACTGTAGCCACAGAAGCAAAAGTGCGTAAGAGACATTTGTGCAAATAACAGAACTGCACAATTCTGTGGCCAAAACAAAAATCTTCCCCAAAAGACACGCCTTCAAAATCAACTCCATTTTTTTTCTTTTTTTTTTTTTGTATCAGAATCCAGTTCAGGACTTGACACTTGCCAGACACGTGCTGTGCCACTGAACTATATCCCCAGCCCAATTTTACCTTTTGTACATGTGTGGTACAGGAGATTGAACCCAGATAAAGGTAAGTACAAAGCTATATCCCTAGCTCCCCACTTGTGTTTTTTTTTTTTTTGTATTTGGAGACAGGGTCTGGCTACGTCGTGTTTTCACTGATCTTAGTGCCCTCCTCCATCAAATAAAGTCAAGTCACCCTTATAAGGTCAGCTCCCTTCTACTACACAGATCGGATCTGGCCTGTCACACAACTAGAGGTATCTTGACTCCTCCTCACCACTCATCTCCCTTAAGCACAACTCTTAGTTACAAAGCAACAGGCTCAGGGCTCACCCAGTTACTCAAATTGAAGTGCTAACGTCTGGTTAGACTCATTTTCATCCCCTGGCCTGTGTTATGTGCAGGAGGAACAAGGCAGCCACCCTCTATCTTTATACATGCCACAGGAAATGAGGCTCTCTGTCCTCAGCCTGTCACCCTGTCACAGGACACTGCTGTCCTGTCACTGTCACACCCAGCACTATGTATTCTGGATGTTTCTGTAATGCTATCGTGGTTGACCCAATGGGAAAGAATGAGCTCTGAATGTCTCCCATTAATTGATTCACAAAATCAATATAGCAGGTTCGCAGGGTTCTGCGGGGGTCTTGTAGCCAGAGAGCAAGATCAGGCTCTCTCTCTTTCAACCACGGTGCCCCTGCTTCCAACGCAGAGAGTACCAAACTGAGTAATTTTTGTTAATGTAAAAACCAGGTCCGAGGGGCTGGGGATTTAGCTCAGCGACCTAAGCACCTGCCTCGCAAGCAGGTCGTGAGTTGGATCCCCGACACTGGTTTAAAAAAAAAAAAAAAAAAAAAACCAGGTCAGAAGAAGATAAAAAGAACACTCCTCAGACACCTAATCCAGAACCTGAGCCCTCGCAGAACCGAACCAGGCGTGCACGTGGAATTCACAGTTCCAGGGACACCACTGCGGACTTTCACAGATTAAAGGCCTGCAAAACTGAATGAAGTTTAAGCCAAGGGCTGCTCTGCAGGCGCAACACCTCGTGGTACGCAGGACAAACGACCCGGGTAAGCGCCACTCCGTAAACCCGCTCAAGGCCAAGGCTCAACTAACACCAAGCCCATTGCGCAGGCGTAGCCCCGCCCCGGGATGACCAGCAGAGTCAGGCACAGTGCATCTTGGCAGATGATTGGCTGGGTGAGCAATAGGGGCGGGCGCAGAGCTAGGGCGGCGGATTCAAGATGGCGGCGGCAGGGAGGGGGTGGGGGGTTCCAGCAGTAGAGCTGACAGAAAGGACAGGGCCTTGGCAGCGGCATAGCCCAGTCGCGTCCGCTCCTGGTAGGCGGCGGGATCGGGGGCCGAACCTACATTAAGAGTTTCTAGACGCAGTAGCGCGAGAAAGACGCAAACTCTGCTATTTACCTTCGCTCTCCCGGCCTCAACCTTCCTGCGCCGCTGCTCTTGCTCATCTTCTTCCATCTCCCTCTGGGACTCTTCGCGAGCTGTACAGAGATGGCGGAGCCAAGGCAGTGCCGCCCTCTCTCTATTTACACTCCCTCCACCTAGCCCTCTCGCCCTCCCCTCCTGCAACTGTCAGCTCCGTGGCCCCGCCCCCACAGCGTATCCAATCGAAGGCCGTGTGTCCCTCATGCGCAAGCGTACTCGGTCGGCGTGCCCCGAAAGGCGCTTCTGTCTGAATGGCTGACTGAAGTAACCCGCCCTCTCAAGCATGGTGTTCCCCGGGCTCGTTGTGATTTGCTGGTAACTCACAGATGGTTCGTGCAGCTCTTCCGCGCGCTCGAGCGCCCTCGTTTGGCGGGAGGAGCAGGGCTATGTCTGGCGTGAGCCAGGCCACGCCTGAGGCTGATAACCTGGGTTCACGTAGGTTCACGCAAAACCCAGGAAATTGGGGCGAGGGGTAGCCAGGTCACCCATAATGCTGGTCTTGGTCATAACCATCCTCGCGCACCCCGCCCCTCGCGCTAGCTGATGCCTCGTCCCCGCAGCACGACCCCAGCCCTTGTCCCGGGCCTGTAGAGCTAGTGTGGGGCTTGCCTGCTCAGCAATTGCAGACAGCTTCCCTTAGGATCACTGGGATTATGTCCTAGACCTGTTGCGACCACTTCTACCCGTACCATCACGCTGTACCCTACCCTGCTGGTACCTGGACCCAAGGAGCCAAAAGCCAGGGGAAGCCTGTAATTACTCCCTCAGAACTAGGACCACGGATGGCCCTGCAGGTGCCAGAGTTGCAGGGACAGGAAGCCACTGAAGGCCCTCTCGAACCCATGAACTCTTAACAGCCCTTGTGCGCAGACTGCCACAAAGCAGTGCCAGGATGAAGGAGTTGAAGGAACCTGGAATGTACCTATTCTGGGGCCTCTGGAGTTCTGCCCAGGCTGAACAGACTCGGTTCTCATGAGGGTGCAATGTAAGTGATGTAATTCTACCAGGGAGAGAGCAAAGCAGCCTCTGCTAATCATAGAATGAACTGTTGGAATCTTCCACATAAACTGCAAATGATTTTTAAGACAGCAGTGTGGAACTGGGATTATAGCTCACAGCATAGGCGCCTTCAGGACACTTACGAGGTCTTGAGTTCAATTCCCAGTACAAAAAAAAAAAAGCCTGCTGGACTCAGTCTTTCTTTGGACCTAAAAGTGCTCCAAAAAATAAACTTAGAATTTTCGTGTGATTTGTCTGTAAGCTAATTGTGAGAATCTGAAGTTTCATGAAATCATAGCTTGATCCTTGGCTTCAGGCTGACAGTAGTGGGCTGGATGGCAAGGGCTGGAAACAATGTCATGTCCCACAGTTTTGCAGAACAGTCAGATTCTTTGTTGCAGTCAGGTTCATTGGAAGTAGATACTCTGACTTACTGACTTCTATCCGAAGCATTCATATGCACCTCATATCACTGAGCACAGCTGCCAGTCTGGTTGCATCTGTGGCTTATGAACTCAAGTGGGAGACAGCAGTGCTTATAGATCAGTCTGTTCACCTGAGCTTAACAGGCTTGGGCTCTTTTTCATTTCCTTCTCTGCTCCTTGAATTTCCCACAGAGATTTAAAAGATACATCTGCCTGCAAATTGAAAGGGCACCAACAATCTAAAGAATGGCTCAGCCAAGTCAGCTTGGTGAGTGAGTTCATCGTGAGTTACAGCACAATGGACAATTTACGAGATACAGCACTACGAAAGTCACCGGCCCACCTTTGCTAAGCTTCTGGTTTTATAGAGTTCTAGTTAAAATAACAAAGCAGGCCAAAGACTAGAAAAGCCCTTGAGAAAAGTTATGTGTACTCCACCCCATGCTATCCTTCTCAGGAAACTTGTTCTCAACAAGCACTGTTCAGCTGCACCCATGGGTAACCTTGTACTACAGTGTAGCATGTAACATCAGCAACCGATAGGGGACACTGCAGGATGGAATTATTTGGACTAGGATTTGGAGGACAATTCTCCCTATAACCACCATCAGTAACATTACATTTGGTGTTAATGTAAAAGTGATGCTAATTCCTCAGTTGGAGTCTGACTAGAAAAGCAACTCTTCAAAGTATCAAGTGGGAATCACAAACCAGGGGACACAAGAATCTGCTGAATAGCTGTGGCTGAGGTGACAACCCCATAGGAAAAGTAAATACCCTCAGGTTGGGCAGGGTGGTACGTACCTGTAATTCCACCACAGAGGCAGAGGCAGGAGGATTCTCCTCATTCAAAGCCAGTGTGGGCTATATATAGCAGGACAGTATATCCAAAAAAAAAAAAAAAAAAAAAAAGATGGTGAACATGCTCAGAACTCACCTCAGAAGGATTGGTAAAGTTAGAGGTTGGCCAGCTCCTAAGTGGCCTATAACTAGACAGCATAAAAAGCAAAATGGGATGGATCACCTGGTGCAAGTCCACAACCCACAGCCCCTTCCTTCTGCAGTATTCTTCAGCCCCTTCAGACATGCCCTAGCACTGTTGTTGCCATTCACAAGGGTTTCTAGCTCCCTGTATTCCACTGATCTATTCTGAGCCTCCATTTGAGTGCTGTCTGTCATGGAGGCCCATGTGCTTCCATGCACTCCCTTTAAATAACAGACTAAACAGCAGTAGCAATGCCTCTCTTAACTCTAGAGTGATACACACAAGTCAGCCTGCAGACTCAGGAGATCCTTAAGAGTTTATGCAACAACCCTGCAAATAGACCTTCAGGAAGCCCTGGGAACTGGTCAATAGGAGGCATTCATCCTGTGCCAGGTGGGCTGAGTCCCCTGACTTTCAGACTCAACCGTGTGTCATGGCTGTTACGGACATGCACATGGGGCAGTAGGCTCATGGGGCATGCACATGGGGCAAGCAGGAAGACTGTGGAATGAAGCTTTCCAAGAACAGCTAGACACCCAGATTTGCCTGAATCTCCTAATATGTTTTGGTACATTTAAAGCTCAAGGAAGGGCCAAGTGCCCAAGTTCAGCAAGCTCAGACCCAAGTTGTCCCCATAGATACTCTGAGAGATTCTGAAAATTCCACCTGCATCTTACTTCAATCTATTTCTTACTATTAAAAAACTGTCATGGTGGGGCTCGGGATTTAGCTCAGCGGCATAAGCACCTGCCTTGCAAGCAGGCAGTCATGAGTTCGATCCCTGGTACCAGTAAAAATGAAAAAGACAAAAAAAAAGTCAGGGTAAGTTATATAGTTGGGCATTGTGGTACACCTGTAATCCTAGCACTTAGGAGGCTGAGGCTAGAGGATTGCTAGATGTTCAAGGCTAGCTTAGTTATATAGAGAGCACAAGGCCAGCCTGAATCTCATAGTAAGACCCTATCTCAAAACACTAAAGAAAACAAAAAAATAAGTCATAAATTTTGTAGGTTCTTTTCCTTGTAATCCACAAATGAGCCCCCAAACTCGAGTTTAAAAAATGAGGCAAAAACAGATTTTAAAAAGCAGCACTGATTTATTTTATCCTGGGCCCAGGGACACAGTGCAGTTGGAGACTGCAAAAGCTGTGTGTATTGCTCCTCTGTACTTGCCACCTTTAAGTATATATCACAATTTACAAAGTAAGGGGGTTCTGGGCGTGGATCAGGGAAAACTGTTAATGAGAAAGATCTTTGTTTTCCTTAGGAGAGGACAGAGCAGTCTAGCAGTAATTATCAACCCCTGTTAGCTTATTTTAGCACCACATCTGTTATTTGTAGAGGGCAACAATGGTTAACATATCAATTAGGTTAGGTTTTACAATTTTTTACAGAGGAGAGCATTGATTAACATATCAATTAGGTCACCCAGAGGAAAAGTGTAGGGAGCCAAGCAACAGCCCATTGCTGCCTCCCTACCTCTCTCTCTCCTTTGGGCACTGCGTCTGCCTACATTAACCATAATTCTCTCCTGCTTACGTCACGTACCCCAACATGACGGTGACCCTGTTGTATTCATCCCCATAGCCTCTTCCTGTCCCACCTCCCGCCCTTGGCCTATAAAAGATGTAATCACTTGTGGAATAAACTGGAGGCTTGATCGGATTCTCTCGACTTGCTTCCATCTCTCTTTGTCTCCCCTATGTCTTTATTTAATCCCCATTCCTGCTACAGGTACACCCCACGGATTGATCCACAGGCCGGATCAGAAAAAAACAGGCATATAGAACAGTAGGCCACATTACAGGTATTTTGGTATAATACAAATATAACGACGCTCTTTTTGCTAGTGTACAACATTCCCCACTGATTTTTGGTGACTCAAATCATTGACTCATAGGTATCTGTTGACTCATAGGTATCTTGCGTGTGTCTTTAAAATCATAAGCTTTTAAGATCTTTGGCATAGTTTATCAACTTGTGTACAATACAAGGCCCAATAGGAGGATTAAAAAGGTCTTGTAGCTGTCATTATTAAAGTTGTTAACCAAAAGGAAAAAGAAGACCAACATTTAAATTTACTCTGTTCCGTCATACAAGTAATAATTTATTTTAAAGTCAGACAGAGGCCTCCTTGAGGCCTCTATAAGGGAGAACACAAGATTATCAGTTACATTTGGCAATCTTAAGCTTTAAAAAGTCCTTGGAGGGAATGACAGACCACTTATCTGTAGGCTGATCACCTTTGGAAGCTGGGACCTGCTTGAAGTGGGAATGATGAATCCAGGCAGGCTTTTCAGCTACTTTGATAGTCCATTGCAACTTAAGAGATTTACGGTGACATCTCTTGATAAGGACTGGTATCTAGGCTTCACAGCAGGGTGTTTGTCCTCGCAGTGGGCAGAAGGTGGAGGAATGTTGGCTGAAAAGTTTGGGGGGACTTAATAAGATCTTTTTTTTTTTGTCTTTTTCATTTGATTAGCTAAATCAGCTAATTTTTCTTTAGAAATCTTAAGGATAGGAGGAAGAGGTCTCTCATATAAAGCCTCAAAAGGGGAAATACCTGCAACCTAGGGGGTCACTCACGCAAAAGAGCAAAAGGAAAGAGACTCACCCAGTTCTCGCCAGTTTTTAAGGTCATTAGTAATTATTGTCTTTAAAATCTGACTTATCTTTTTTACTTGTCCTGAACTTGAGGCTGGTAAGCACAATGGAGTTTCCAATTGATCTGC